ATTTAATTAACAATATGGAAATTAAATATTTAGGATTAAAAAATGAAATTTTTATTTCAATTTTATCACCAACAATTGTGTGGTATGATTACTTTGTTTCAAATTATTGTAAAATTTATCCATTAAAAGATTATAAATTAATTTTATTATTAATTATTAAATTATTTATTGATAATTTAAATGGATTAAAATTATTACATGAATTAAATATTTCACATATTGATTTTAACATTTTAAATTCTAACATAATATTAAATAATTGTTCTGATTTAATTAGTAAATATTTAAAAGAAAATAATTTACCAACATTTAATATGGTATTAATTGATTTTAATAGTTCAAAATTAGAAAGTCAATTATTATTTACAAATGAATACATTCCAAAAACAACACATTATCCTCCTGATTATAAATTATATTATGATAATATAAAACCAAATATATCATTTACAAAAGCACATGATATTTATTCATTATCTATTGTAATGATTCAATATATTAACATTTTGATTAATTGTTATGGGAATAATTGCTTTCAAATGAAATCAAATACTATTAGATATATAAATCAATCACATAGAAACAAAGACGAACCATTCAATATTGATTTTAATATTTTAAATTTTAATATTTTAAATAGTTTTGAAAAGGAAATTTTTAATGAATTATTTGAAATGATAAGAGAAATGAATTTAAACCCTTGGAAAATTATTAATGAAAAAGATTATTGTTTACAACAATTAGAAAAATTACAAAATAATGTATTGAATTAGAATATTTCTGATACATCTTCTTCATCACCTATAATTAATAGTGAAATGAAAAATTCACATCAAATGAAACAATGATATTGTCAAATGATTCTTTTTTCCTCAAATTTAATAGTCTCCCAATATAATCACTTTTGGCAACTTGTATTCCCTAAATATCATTGTCAATTATAATATTTCATTTCACCACAGAAGAGATTTTCTAAAAAATCAATTTTCTCATCAATTAAATTCCTAATTGTTCAATTTTTACGATATGTTTCCGATAAAATTGAAGAATTTGTTTCCAATAGAATGTATCTATTGCGATACGATTGTAAGTTGATTTGTTGATCAATAAAATGTTTCGAATATGTTTTAATTAGAGGTAATTAAAGGAAATATTTCGGTTTGTAATCCTGAGGAAAACTAAAAGTTTCTTATAAATATTGGAAATCAAAAAATGAAAAGAAAACCAATCACGTCATCCTCTGCCAGCAAGAAGGCGAAAACTACCAATACAGAACAGCAACCAATAATCATTTCATCACAAGATTCGAATAATGAAGAATCGAACAATGATCAATATTATGATCCGGATACTATCTTTCTATTAGATTCCAATGGTGAGTTTGTGATAATCCCCGATGACCAAGAACCAATTTCATCAGAAGAAACAGAAGAAACTAATTTATTAGTTTCATCATCGCAATCACCACCTTTTGATTATTCGATTTATACTAGTATCGATCAATTTCTAATAATTCCCACACACAACTTGATAAAGGAAATTCCACACGAAATTATCGCAAATTGGATGTTCTACATGGACAAACAAACTCTTTTCAATTTCATTAGAGTTTCTCGAGAAGTTTACAATATATTTGATGAAATTTATGCAGAGAGTGTGGAAAGATTGAGATTGGAAATTTTAAATAACAAGAGAAAGAGTAGTGATTTGAATCGATTATTGGATTTGTTTTCGAATGAAAGTCGAGAGAGAAGTGGTGAGAAAGTTATGCTGACCTATGATGACTATTTCAGAATGAGAAGTTTTACACCGTGGCCTTTGAGTTATTTTCATGATAGGACTCGGTTTGAGAGTGTTGTGAATGAAAATGATCCTCAAATTAAAGTTATTAATGAAAAGGCAGATGAACAGATGGCACGTCTATTAGAAATGAATAATGAACAAATGAACAAAGAAACTGCTCAATATGAAAAGGTATTGCCATATGGAGTTTTTCCAAGAAAAGACATTTACTATTTGACTTTTAATCAATTGGTAAAGAGAAAGTGTGTCAAAAATCTGAAAGAAGACTTGTACATGTATACAGATCAAGCATATAAAATTGAAAGAGTGATAACAAGTGATTTATATGCAAATGAGGAGAAGAAATATAGTGTGGATTATCATACATATGTGGATAAACACAGTCATCCAACAACTGTATATATTGAGAGAATTGTTCGGTTTTTCAAACATCCAAATGAAATGACATTCTCTGACTTTGATAATAGATTCAAGAATAATTTTCTTAGTGAACTAGCAAGAATATTAGTATATGATTGTGTATTTGAATATAACAAATCAACCAAGACAAGAGAAAGATTTGTTGTATCTGGTGGATCACTGCTTCACACTCTTACTGGATGTGGCTGTCAAGATATTGACATTTTTATTATCAATAATCAAGAACCCGATGAAATTGTCAATCAAGCAATCAAACAGGTTTTATTGAAATTTGAAGAAAAAACCTCAAACTTTACCTATAATATAATGGGTTCAAAAACTACTATTAATATTTGTGAAGAAAGACCTAAAATGAGTATTGCAAATGGTTATAGAGTTGAGACCAATCAGAATATTCAGATTGTTCTTTTGAGATATGATTCCATTGAAGAGTTATTACTATTCTTTGATTTGGATTGCTGTAAATTGGCATTTGATGGAATTAGAGTTTACACAGTATTGGAATGTTTGAGATCTTTAAAATATAAGATTAACTTTCTTCCAAAACGGACAGGAAATACAGAAATCAACAGAGCTAGGGCTTTAAAATACGGTTTTAGAGGTTTTTTTACTTTCACACTCGATACAGATCATCCTCTCTCTCATGCCATGCATTGTGACTTTGTTGTTGAGAAGCTCAGAAAAAAGATAACAACAGAATACAAAGAGACCCGAATTGATGATATTTACAATGGTAGACGAAATCCTACGACTCAGTTCTTTGTGCAACCAAAAGATTTTAGCTTTGCAGCACCTATGAAGGAATCGTCAGATCTCGATGAATCAAATTACCTCTATCCATTGATATTGAGAAATGTGGATTATCATTTTGTTGATTTGTGTAAATCTATTGGACTCGGTGCTGCATTGTGGAAATTGAAAAAAAACATTTCGAGAGAACGTTCTTGTTACATATTTGATTTCCTTCTCGATGGAGATACTAAAAGCAAGGCCCTATTCACTTCTGAATTGAAATTAGAAAATTCTGAAAGAAAGGGTGGTTCTGAAATGTTAGAAAAGCTAATTTCATTAGATGGCTACACATTCTTAGATAGACCTTCTGAACTTTTCAAAAACCTGCAACAAGATTATAATCTCGTCAAAAACAAGTATTCATACTCTCACCTAGTTCAGAAATATAATATTGTGAATTGTGCCAAATGTTCCAACTATATTTATTCAACACAAATTGCATCTCAATTGAGGTTAAAGAAGAGACAACATGACTCGTCCATTGAAATTCCAAAATTTGACACAATTAACGAAAATAATTTCAATCCAGAAATTCATTTCTGTTGTGATTCCTGTTTAAGGAAGGTGAATGGCATGATAAAGTTTAGAGCTTTTATCCAATCAACAAGTTATGGAGTTTCTGGAGCTGAAAAAGGAATTGTAACTCTGTTAGTGGAACAAGATCAGAATTCAGGAATTTCAAAGAGGAAAATCTTTATATATTTGGAAGGGGCTTATGGACTGGAAGAATTGCAAATTGCATTTTATTCCTTACTGAATTATAGGAAATATATTGAGTACATTTCAGTGGATGATGAAATTCATGTAAAATTGGCAAACACAACAATTGTTTCGTCTGACTATGAAGTTCTCTATCCTCCAAAAACTTACCCTCCAAAATTTGATTGGATGTTCAATGGATCAATGTGAGCTAGATACAAAAGTATTATTTTGTTTGGATCATTGTCCTTCAGTTTGTAGTGGAATTTAAATAAATTTCTGAATTTCTCATACAATTTTTATTAGATAAAGCCCTAATGTTGGAATACCTGAAATGATGAGAGTGTGGAATTCAAATACCAATAATCCACAACACTCTTTGGTTTACATAAAAAGTCAAATGAATTCAGAAAGCAAGAGCTGCTCAAACGCAAAACCACAATCTTGATAAATTAAAAACAATTTACCGACAATGGGGCTCGAACCCACGACCCCAGGATTAGAAGTCCTGTGCTCTATCCAACTGAGCTATGACGGCTACATGTTGAAAATGAAAAATTTCACACAAAACCGTGATCAACCTTACACCTAGCATAAAATTTTCCTTAACGAACCCAATCTCCACTAGTAATTTCAGTTCCCTCCCGTGTACTCTAAAGTTTTATTGTCCAATAACCACTTCCGACCACTCCCTACCTTATCAAAACATGCATTCTTATTCAATCATCCCTATCACATACCTTCTCCCAATACTTGTTCTAACCATTAATTCAAAAAAACATTACCTTGCATTCAACAGAATGTGTGTTTAAGAAAATAATTCTAGTAACACCAAGCCAAACACATGCAAATCTTACCAAAAGCATAAAATTAAGCGCACATTCATAAATTGAAAAATTATTCCGTTGCCTAAAACCGAGCTCAAGGAAAATACCACACAAACACATGTTTGCCAATTGGTAATTCAATGGTTTAACACGAAATAAACAACACAACATTTAAACAAAATGGTACTACATGATGCTTCCCCAACAACAACGAGTAGTGCGGTTGACCAACAAATTAAACAATACAGGTTTAAAATAGAGGCTGTTTTTGACCACAAGGAGGCGAGAGAAATATTTAGGGAATATATGAAGAAGGATTGTCTCAATGAAGGTGAGTTTACTTTTACCTTTCGAATAATAATTATTGTGTTATTGTGATGGTTTCGAATTATCACCACCAATCAAAATAATCAATTAATTTCAAACACAACTCTCAATTAAAAATTTGAATAAGAACCCTTGTTATTTTACGAAAGTGTTGAAAAATACTTGAACACCCGATTAGATAAGAATCGATTAGAATTGGCTGCTGATATCACTGAACATTTCATCACAGTTAGCCAACATGAATTAAACCTCTCCATGTCTATTCGAAATGATATCCTAACCCGATGGGAACAAATCGAAGAAAGAAACAAGAATGTCATTGATGATGATTTAATTGCCTGTCCAATTGATTTATTCAGCAGAGCTCAGGATGTAATTTTCATCGAGATGAAACAAGATAATTTTTCAAGATTTGTCGATTCTGATATTTTCAAAAAGTTTCTAATAAGAGAATTGAAGAAGAATGATCATATTTTGGAATCTTTGGGCACGTGTAAATTCAATTCAAGAACTGGCTCTTTGGGAAGTTTATCATCTGAGGATTTGATGAATAATTTGACACCAGTTTCATCTTCCATTTCATCTTCACCATTACATGCAATTTCACATTCACAACCAAATAATTCTAGTTTTTCTGGGAATGTGAATTTAACTCCAAGAAGTTCTCAAGATAGTGAGAGTGATTCACTCGATGAGAAAATTGCAACTTTCTATGAGAAACAAAATGATTCGAATGAAAGTTTACTCTTGCCAATTATTGATGATATGAGTCCATATATAACTCCAAAAGATTATGATTTGGGAATGAAACTTGTAAATTCATTGAATGATTCGAATATGTGGAAAACTATTGATGAAAAAGTTGGACTCAAGACACTTGTCAGTAATCCTGTTTTTAGTTTTTCTCCAAGAAAGAGTGAAAGTGGGAAGATAATTGTCTGCAATTCTGGAATTCTCACTGGTAAACCAAGAGATTGGTTGAATTTGTTATTCTCTGATTCTATCAATAAGATGATTCATGAAAAGATGAAGAAGAGATTCCAAGTTGACTATATCAAAATTAATCCAAAGAATGGAGCTCACTACCCAAACACAATAGTATACACTGAAGCTCAATTTCCATTTCCATTGACTAATAGAGATTTCATCTTTTGTAGAAGTGTAATTCCAGATCTTTACAATGAAACTACTGGAGAATATGACAGATATGTCTTTATTCAAAAACCAACTCAACATCACGAATATCCAGCCAGAAACTCACCAATCAGAGCACTCCACTACATTTTCTACATTGTTGAAAAGAAGACTCAATCCAGTGTTAAATATTCAGTATTCGAAACTGGAGATCTCTCCGGCAAAATTCCACCAAAGATTGTTTCAAGCTTTTTCAAGACTATTGCTAATGCCATGCACAAGAAAGTCATCAAAGCATGTGAAAAGATCTATAACGAAGAAATCGTTTCCAAAGATGCTGATGGCGCCCTATCAACCCTCACTGAAATGCTCAAATATTTGGAACATGAAAGAGCTAACAAGTCAAACTCAACAATAGCTGAAAAACATTAATACTTGTGTAAAATATATTCATCATCATCATGGATTTCAATATCAGAATTTTTGAGAGTTTCTGATATTTTTGTAAATTCAATAAATTTTTGAAAACAGATTTGAAAACTTTACAAAATTTCTTAGCTGAAAAATCAATAATTAAAAAAATGCAAACAAAATTAAATGAATTACCGTTAGAATTGATAAGAGAAGTTCAATGTTACTCTAGTCGTGTTGAATTGATATTTTTGTGGAGTTTTACTTGTCGGAATTGGAGGCGAATGGTTTGTGAATTGATTTGGGAAGATTACAATGAAGTGATTAAGAAATTTTCCAATAACAGATACGAAATGAATTTCAATGATGATTATGAAAACTTTCTCTATTCGAAAGAAGGAAGAAAGTTTACTAAATATTTAATTAGAAAGCATGTTTACGAAATGGCTTGTCTCCTATCCGAAGAAGAAGAAATGATTGCACAACATTTTGATTCAGTTTCGGAACGATGGATTGATGAACAATTGAAATATTTGAAAAATGTTTTTAATCAATTCTCAGATTTGAAATTAGAAAAACAAAGTTCAATTGAACTATCCAGATCAACACTATTCGACAATGCTCTTTCCTTCATAGGCTCCTTCTTCTTGCCAAATAATTCTTCAAATGATGTGAAGGATTTCGATTTCCTTTCAAAAATCCTATTGGAAGGAGAAAGATCGAGTGGAAAGTCATCGTTCCTCTATTGTGCAATGAATAATGGTGAAATTATTCAAAATTCAATGCCTCCAATTGCCTGTTTTGCTCGGAAAATATTAACAATTGGTCAAGAAAGAGTTAAGATTGAAGTGTGGGAAAGTGGTGGAGAAAGATATCGGCCTCTGATTGCTGCCAATTATCGAAGAGTTGAATTTATTTTGATATTTGTGGATCCTTTCAAATGGAATTCGAAACAGTCCACTGAATTATTGAGCAAAATCAAGGAAGATATTGAGAAATATTCATCGAAAAAGATTGAGGTTATCTTTATTACAACAAGGAAAGACATTGAACAAGAGAAACGAAACCTTTCTAATGAAAAAGCAGATGAATATGCTTTTGATAATTATTTTGGAGCTCTACATTTCAATATTACAAATAATCAAGCTGAGGAACCAAAAAGAATCATTTGGTATTGCACATTACTCAAGTATTTACTTTCGTAACAAATTATTGTAAATTCCCTTAACTTGAATTATTTAAAAGTAATATTAAAATATTAAAAATTTATTGAATTAGTTGATAGCAACAACTTCAACATCGAAAATCAAAACACTGTTAGCTGGAATTTTACCCATAGCCTATTGAGTAATAAATCATAAAAATTGTAATTATAAATCAAATCAGTAAAATTATAAAATCAATAACTAACCCTTGATCCATATCCCATTTCACTAGGAATAACCAACTTTCTCTTTTCACCAACACAAGCTCCTCTGTATTAATAATGTAATTATACGACATTACATGAATTGTTAATCCACACTTTGTTTAACGTCAACTTACTGAAGACCAGCATCCCATCCTTTAATAACACTACCTTGTCCAATCTGATTATTATTAAAATAATTAATGATGTCAAGTGGTATCCAATTCATTCCGATAACACGTGTTAAAATATCAAATCATCAATTATATTTTGTTTGATCGGAATGTATTATTAAAATATTGATCAATAAATAGATAATATAACACTCATACATACAGTGAAGGAGAATGGTTGATTTCTGCTATAACTAGAATCAAATTCAGTACCATCAGTCAAAGTACCTCTGTAGTGAACATCAATTTTATCACCATCCTTGATCTTTCTATCACAATCATTTGGTCTATACTTGACACCAACTTGCAATCTCTTCAAATCTTCATACTTGGCAAAGGAGGATGAAACACAGAAGGTAACAACCAACAACAAGGCAACAACAAGAGTAAATCTCATTTTTTTTAATTAATTTAAAAAATATTTAATTCTATAGGTATTAAATTTTAAAAGATATTAAATATTAAAAGATCTAACTGTTGCAGACATCACTAGTTTATTCTACATCATCATCATCATCTAGCATGGTATGAGTAATTTGTTCCTTAATTATGTACCTTTCGATTGATTCCCTTACTTGGGTTTGATAGGTATCGAGATTATCAAAGTAAATTCTTGGAACTGTACAAATTTCAATATAGTAAATCATTAAATAATTAACTAATACTTACTCAAATCACCAAATCCATTGACTTCAACAATAAAGTGCTCTTGGAAATTCTCAGAAAACATCAAATCAACACCCAAACATAATGAGTTTGGAAAGCATTCATTAGCAATGCTCTCGCAAGTAACTTTCACCTTATCCCACGACCCAGGAGCCTTATATTCAAGTAACCTTAAAAAGTCATCACATTCTCCTCTCTTATTTCCTAAATGTAAATTGGTCATTGGATTTCTGGAAGTTCTTACAACGAAATTCATAATTTTTCCGCCTACAACTACAATTCTCAGATCGAAATTACCACGACCCATATAATCGGCTTTTTCAACCCACTCCTCAACAATAGCTCCCTCAGCCAATACAAAATCTATTACTTGCTTAATATCCTCATTCTTTGTGTATCGTCTTATTCTCAATGAATTGTAAACTTTAAAGTATTGAGGGAAGTTTCTATCTCTAACTAGTTCAGAAGAGGTGGTTGCCAACTCTTTGAATACTGTCTCGGTAGATCCTATAATCCTCTGCTCAACAAAACAATAGGCAATGACACCACTTGCTGAACTTCCATGAGCTAATTTTACAAATACTCTATTCATATTGTTGCTTTTCATGACTTCTACCATTTCGTCATAATTTCTTACATTATAAAACCCTCTTGGAACAGGAATTCCATGTTTTACCAACAGAGAGTGACACATTCTCTTATCAAATGTTGATGAAATCTCATCTAGAGTGCTTGAAAATTGTCTGATACCATGTCCTCGAAGGATATCAAAAAGTTGTTCCAGAGCATTAATAAAGCCAAGATACCATTGTCTCACATATCTTACTTGCCCCAAATCAAAGGCCAGAATATTATTGATATCATACTCGCTCACTCTAGTTCCAAACTCTTCTTGGTTTATACCTTCACATCCCAATGATAATAAACCTCTTTCCACAAAGAAATTTTCACCTGGTGAGTCAATTCTCACAACAATATCCCCAGTTTCCAATTCTTCTCCTGTTTGTTTGAAATATTTTCTCTTCATCTTGTCAATGATTTGTTGCCAATCAATTGGTGCAATTTGATTATTATCAACCACATTAATTTGATGATTATGTGGGTTGACTATTCCAGTTGAGAGTAACATTTCCCAAGTAACACATTCTCCTGGTGGCAATCCAAAGGATGACAAGGCAGCTTGGAAAAATCCAACTCTTCTATTTTCTTCATTTCCTATAATTAAAAATCTTTGTTTAATACCTTTTACTGGTGCAAACTGAATCATTAAATTGTTAACAATACAAATGTTCCAAAATCGAATTAAACATACCACAAATCCATCAAATTTATTTCCTATCACTGTCATTCTATGAACATCAAATCCGATCAAGAATTTATATTTAATTAAATCCTTCAATAATTGTCTCCATTCTTTGCAAACCATCGATAGGGTATGCACAAGATTTTTACGTTCATTCCTATCCTCTTCCGATTCTATAATGATAGAGAATATGAAACTCTTCACTCGTGAATGAATCAAGTCAAATGTATCCCTCGATAATTGCACTGGTAATTGTCTAATTCTTTCAAAGCATTCCTGAGTGAAGGAAATATTTTGTCGATTTTCTATAGAAGTAGTATTGATGGTGCTGTCTTGTTGTGTGGATTCTTGTTGATGGTTTTGCAACATTTTTTTGTAATGTTTTAAATAGTAGAATAAATTGAAGATATATTTAATCTATAAACTAGAATAAACCATTACCACCAAAGACATTATGATTAAATACATGATTAATTTGCTTTAATAGAGATGAATTAGATTTTTGAATATTTTCTCCATTTGGAGAGACGAAACTGAGGCTTCTTGTTCTTGAACCACCGTGATGATTTTTTGATTATTTTACTCTCGGAATTTTTTCAAAGGTATGGAATATGCTTACTTGTTATTTTCAATATTGATTGAGACTGAGCCTCCTAAGAACATTAATCACACCTCTCTCAATAGGCTGAGTTTAATGCAAAATACATCTTTGCCCTGATATGAACAAAAAAGGTGAATTTTAATGTGGTCAACTTTTTTACAATTCGAAAAAAGAGCCAAATTAACGATAAAAAAAATAAGATGAGCACACCTTTGTATAACATTTACTATCGTCTCAACCCATTCTCCCACAGAGAATATAATGGAGAACTTACTCAAGAATTACCAGCTCTCCCAGTCAACAGATTGATCCAAAAGTATTCCCAATACTCTTTCTTGGGTACTAAGAAGATGTTGCCAGATATTAGATTCCCATCAAACAACTCTGATTTCTACAAGAAGTGTTATTTGAACTTCTCAGTCTGGAGAAAGTGTTTGGGCGAACACGCTGCTGATGGTGTCGATAAGGAAGATCCAAATGCTGCTGTCTGTAAGAGATACGAACAATTGGCTAGATTCTCTTGCCCAATGAATGACGTAGGTTTAATAATTTAAATAATATTTAATAATGATGATGAAAATTTAGTACGAAAATATGCTCGCTCAAGTTGAAAAGGACTCTTTTGTTGCTACAATGGGTTTCGAAGCTAAATATGAAGGATCATCACCAACAGTTTTGAAGGTCGACCATCACAACAAGGTCGTCAAGGTTCTCCACAAATCCAAGAACAGTCAATACAATGAAGGTGATACTTACTCTAGAATCAGACAATACTACTTCTATTAAACTAATAGTCATTTCTCTCTCTACTGACTAACGACGAATAAAACCAAGAACACTCTGGGTGTTTGAACACAGGGAATATATTTTATATTGAAAATGTATTTCGATTATTATGAAATTCATTACACGGTTACTATTTGATGATTTAAGCCAATAATAATTTAATTAATATTAATTACATATAATTTAATAATAATATTAAAAAACAAATAATTTATAAGGATGTTTCTGCAATAATTCTATCGAGACTGTGGGCGAAAGAATTCAAGGTAAAGTTATCGATCACTCTCTGTCTTGAACGTGTTCCATAGTTGGCTCTTTCTTGAGCGCTCATGGAAAAGAATTGAACAATGTTGAGGCCAAAGTTTTCGATAATTTCATCCTCGTTGAGATTATCCATAACGGCCAATAGACCTGTCGATTCATGAACAATACTTTCCTTTGGTCCTCCACTTCTCAATGCACAAACACATCTTCCACAATACATGGCCTCAACTGGAACAATACCAAAATGTTCTCCCTGTGGAGTGTAGGCCACTACAGTGCAATATTTCAACAAGACATATCTCTCAATTTCATTAAATGATGGAACATAAATTGCATTCTCTTGGACATTGTACTTGGCTACCAATTGTTTCAATTCATCCAAAACTTGAATATTTTCAGGAACTCTTGGATCATAACCTCCAGCAAGAATGAGTAAGGCGTCTGGGAATCTAGGCTTGACATACTTGGCAAATGAGTGAACCAGCAAGGCAATATTCTTCTTCTTTTCAAATCTATTGATGGATACAACACTGAATTCACTGTCCATTATTCTCTTATAGAATGAACACTTTTCCAATTCTTCCTCAGATGGTTGAACATCGTAGGATGAAACATTGATTGGTGGATATAAAATTTCAACTTGCTTATTAGAGAGCTTTTTAAATGATTCATAGAAAATTTGTTTGGTAAATCCAGAATTTACACTAATAGAATGAGCCATTCCAGTTGTAATTTCCTCAAAATAATCGAATGGAATTCTATATAATTTCTTCAATAATGACAAGTTACTGTCCCATCTCACCAACAATTTATCAGGAAAATGACAGTAAAATACAATTTTAGCCTTTGGAAATAATAATTTCAAGAGTGGAATATGATAACTAATTTGATCAACAATAATCACATCATAATTTTCATGAGAATGATTCAAATACATTCTAATAGTACAATAAAACATTCTTAAAATTGCAAAGAAAATATGAAATAAACCAAATATTGTTCTCGGAAGAAAATCTCCATATGAAATTACATCCAAAGTTCCATCATTGGTTTCTGAGAAGGAATGTTTAGGATCGTGATGAGAGGTAAATATCGTAACCTTGTGTCCAATAACCTTTTTTAATCCAACAGCAGCATCCACAATCAATCGTTCAGCTCCTCCGATACCCAAGTCCGGATGAGTAAAGGCAATATTAAGTGATTTGTTCTTCTTCATTTTTTTTAAATTTGAGCTCAAACGAAAAGTCAACCCAACCAATCAGACTTCCAAATTCACAGAAGAATCAACTCACTCCCAATACATAGACTCATCAAGGAAATCAATGTACTCACATTCGAATATTCAAATAATAATAAGCAACAAACACTAGATGAACTGAATAAGAAGAAAGATGAACTGAAATACAAACAGAAGGAATTTTTTAAGAAAGAGAGAGATAGATGGCTACATATGATTAACAATACAAGTATTGGATTTCTATATAGATTTGATGCAGATCTGAACACCAAGAATATCAATTGGAAAAATCTACCAGACAGCGTAAACAAAGATAGCACTCTCCAATTCTTCACACAGAAATTCAAGAAAGAATATGAAGAAATCAAAATCAAACTCCCAACATCAACAGTCAAAGAAGGTCCACAAGAGATCACAATTAACAAAGATGATATTCTAAGCACACTCAAGAGACTCAAATCTAAATCTACAGGCACAGACTTTATTACAAATGACTTACTCAAGGAAATGACAGAGACACAAGCAACACAATTAGCAATAGAATTTAATAAGATGATTAGTGAAACAAAGGATATACCAATAATAATGAAAGAAGGTTGGATCAAATTAATCCCAAAGAAAGACTCTATTGTAACACACAAAGACATTCGTCCTATCACAATAATGAGTACACTATACAGACTACTATTTAACATCATAGCAAGGAAAATAGGTAAATGGGCAAAAGATAACATCAATATTAGACAACAAGCATTCACATCTAACAGAGAAGTTAACAACCATATTCTAGTAATCCAAGCATTAAGAGTCAAATACAAGAAAACAAATGCATTTGTAATCACCAACTTGGACATAGAAAATGCATATGACGGTGTAGAACATTGTGTCCTTAGATTAGCTATGAAACATTGTAAATTCCCACTAATGTATAACACAATCACCCAAATTATAATAGATTACCAAATCGAGAATTGGAAAATACCTGGCACACCATCATTTAAAATTGAAGAAATAGGAACTCTTAATTTTGCTGATGACTGCTCATTAGTAACACAACCCAACAAGAAACACAATACCAAACTCAAACAACTGAACAAATGGATAGGGAATCTCAAAATGAAAATCAATGCTTCTAAATCAATAACTTCTGTCACACCGGAAAGAATAGCCCTTAAAGACTTCACAGTTAAGCTTGACGATACGTTAATACCAAGACAAACCAATCAAAGAACATTAGGAAACTACATCACAGAAGACCATCTCTTCACAAAAGAAATTGACAAAAGAGAAGCTAGAGTAACACAAATACTAAAAATACTTCCAATCCATTTGATAGAACCAGAAAATCTCAAAAGAATCATAATGGGCAAGACAATTAGTAGTTTTATCCATCTAGCAAGAGGAAATTCAATTTCCAATCCTCGCCTACAAACAATTGACTCAACAATTAGGGGTAACCTAAAAAGATCACTGAAGATCGATGCAAAGGTAAAACCATCCACAATGTATGCACAATTCGAAAGAAAAGGACTAGAAATTCCAAACCTCGAATACATAGCCAACTCAATCCTTTGCAATAACTTAATCAACAAATTCCACTCAAGTAACCCACTTGTCAGAGAAGCAGTACAGTACGGAATTAATAACTGTAACACGAACAAAACAAAACTACACAACATATTTGAAAAATTCCACTACATCCTAAAACAACAACACAAACTTACCACAACAATATGTAACACCAATCATCAACTTCTGGAAAAGGAAAAAGATGAACAATACTCCTACTCAGAATTCACAATATGGACTGATGGATCCAAATCAGAAAACAAAGTAGGATTCAGTATAATCATTCAGAACAACGAATTTACAAAAGGATACAAATACAAGCTCCACTCATACCACTCAAACAACATGGCTGAATTATCAGCAATTACAACAGCACTACACATCATACCACCAAACAGCAATGCAAAGGTACTCACTGACAGTGAAATAGCAGTCAAAATAATTAACAACACAAATTACAAAGGTCAATTTAAGCAAATCAAAGATGAAATTACCAACCTCATCAGCACTAAAAAACTTCAAGCATCCATCGAATGGACAAAAGCTCATACAGGAATAACAGATGGAAATAACTACGCTGATAAGAAAGCCAAACAAGCCTCAAGAATAGGACATCGAATTGCACCCCAACATCTACTAACTCAAGGGCAATTAATTATCACCAATTCGAAAAAAGTTTGGAAAAGTAGAATCAAAGGAGTACTTAGTGAAAAGCTCTACAATCAAGGAACATCCGAACTCATCAACAGAACAAATCTCAATTACCTCAAAGAACATACCACCCCAGCTCACAAATACTCAATCTGGAGGCTCATGATAAATGGACACTTAAGAAGCCTCATAGTAGACAACCCACAATGCCCAACATGTAACAAAAACCTTGACACAGAACACCTCTTCATAGCATGCCCAGAAATGAATTCAGCTAGAAACTGGATGATTGAAGAAATCAAAAAAAATACCAATCTCGAACCAGTACTAAGCACAGAGAGGACAGAAATATTAACACCAAACTCATTCCAACTAAATATCTTTGATATTCTGACGGAACCTATTCAAGGTATTATCAAAGAACAATGGCCCAAGATACAAGGAGGCCTCTCACTTTTTGGAGGAAGAGTACAAAAACAATACAACAAAATCTTAAAAATTCAATAAGACGTTCCAAATGGACGAACCCGTCGGGTTCATTCGATTAATAAACGTTTAAATTTTTTTTAAATTTGTTTTTAGAATTTAAATTGTTGATAAAATTGTGAATTGAATTGTAAAATTTGAGAGGAAGGAATTTCGTGTTTTTTAAAATACGTGTTTTCAAATGATCGTTTTGAAAATGAGTTTTAAATGATGTGAAGTGAACTTGAGATTTTTTGTAAATCTTATTAAGGTTGTTGAGAAATTGCCTTATTCGTTATTAATTTAGTTTTGTTATGTTCAATTTTAAAGATAAAAGTAAAAAGTACCAAATATTCAAGATTTTTATTTCAAAATTAAAATCTATTTAGATTCGAATTCCTCAGGATAGTTCTCTTTACAAAAACATAAATTAGATGGTTTTGGAGGATTAATCGGCGACTTTTCTGTAAATTCATCCAACAATGATTCGATTTCAATTGCTCTAACAACCTCATCCTCCTTAACTTCATAACAATTTTCCTTATTTTGTACATGAAGAGTGACAGTTGGCGGCTCTTTAGTTATCCACAGAAAGATTGAATCTCTATTTCTCAAATCCCTCCAAAATCCATCCTCTGTGAAATTCTTATTGTTGATAATATCTTTCCCTTCATGAACTCCCAAACTTTGCAAGAATTCACTAACTTTCTGTGTTGTTTCAAATGAAAATTTGGCTAATAAGGTATCGCCATCATTAGCATGACCTCCGTATGCTCTAACGAATCGAAAATATCTCATTCTATTGGTCCATGATACAAGCTCTTCCTTTGAATGAAAACGATACATGTATTGTTCAAATTGATTGACTTGAGAAGATTTTTCTTGATTGGAACGACATGAAGTGGAGAAGAATCGAAGATTTTTTAAGAAGAAATGCTCTTATGAGACAATGCTCGATAGATAGCAACGTGATGATTGCTTTTTATCATTTTTTTTTGAAATTGCAACAGATTAATTGTTGATAAGGCAACTCTATGGCAACTCAGTTTGATATTACTCAACATCATTGAATGGATCACGCAAGAGTATATTGCGTCTATTTACAAAAGCACACATATTGTTGTTTTTGTAAAAAACTGTTCCCAGTTGAATTATGTGTAACAGTGTTAGGGGATGTAGCTCACATGGTAGAGCGCTTCTTTAGCATGGAAGAGGTACGGGGATCGATACCCCGCATCTCCACTATCTTTTTATTTAGTAAATGAATTCATTGTGATTGCAGATAGGTGCAATAAGGCTTAAACATATGGTGCCATACTTTTTCCAAGGAGAATACATGAAATGACTTTATGTAATGGAGTAAAACAAGTTAGAAAAATTAGAATATTGAGCTAATAACTTTGGAAATTAGTTTTCACTTATTTTGAATTGTAATATTATTGTTTTTCATTTTGTAATTTTGGACGGGAAGCCTGCCAGGAATATGGCGACAATCCCGCTACAGTCTTTGACTGTATGAACAGTGAAGGCAACTAATCTATTGATTGTTGGTTCAGTAAGTTATTGTTTAGAAAAGCTTGCTACGTGACCCTCTGTTTATCATCTTTGAATTTTATCTATTTAGAAAGAGAAACTTGTGGTTGATCAATAAACGATCAAATTTCGAATTTGAGTCTTCAAATAATACTATTATTATTCAAAAGAAGACAAACACTACACTGAAGGAACGGTTGCTTGGCTAGTCATAATCTTCATAATGTTATGATCAATTACCACATAAGGAAGGTGTTGTGATTTTTCTATTAATTGAAAAAAGAAGGAACATTCGTTAACAATTTTCTATGGATTTCTTGATTAATAAAAAGAAAGTGTTGATAATGTTCTATTAATTGATAAAAAGTTAAGGTACCAATCTGCATGTTCACAAATCCCCCATTCACTAACCATGGCTGGTAAGGAATGCAGCAATCATCTATGAACGAGGAAACCTACAACGAAGCATGTTTCCAGTTCGATATCATGCTCAAGATATGTGACTACAGAGTCTTCATCTTGGTTAACCTCAAAGGTCAGATTGACTCAAAAAAGTCGAGTTTATGTATTCCTACAGAAAAGATCCTGTAGAAGTACAGTCAATGGTTTTAGCAATCTTGCATCCTCAATGATATTATATCGGTTTTGAAAGTGTGGATTGTTGTCAGGAAAAGTTATGGTAAAAAAATTCAATGAGAGATTCAAGAAAATATTTGAATGGACAGTATTCCAGTGAATTAGCACCTATTATTCTGATAACAAAGGAATCTCAACTTACTTCATTAACAATTCAGACTCGTTATTTCTGAAATAATAATATTGAAACAATATGTGTTTTCATGAACAAAAGGAGAAATTTTAATACATTAGTATAGCTGGCGTAGCTCAGTCGGTAGAGCGTTGGTCTAATAAGCCATTGGTCGCCGGTTCGATCCCGTCCGTCAGCATCTCTTTTGGCTTTTAAAAAAGGGAAGACATTCCACCCCATTCGAAACCCAAGTAAGATTATTTTTTTTGGAAACATTGGGGGGGCTTCAAAAAAATATTTTAAATCAGAAATGAATAACAACAAGAGACGAATTAATCGTCAAAAATTCACCAACCAGAATCTAAACAACAGGAACAACACTGGTAATAACAACAACAATATTAGTAATAATAATAATAATAATAATAATAATAATAATAATAATAATGTAATTGTGAATAAACAATCAAATAATAATAATACTACTAATAATAATAATAATAATAATAGTAATAATAGTACATCTAATAATGGTCCAAAATTAAATAGATACCAAACTAAACACAGAGTCATCATTTGTAATTACGACCAAAATGAATCAATCAACAAATTGGCAAATTATTTAAAAATAAGTCCTAATAATGTATTCGGAATGAAGGTAGATAATAATTTGAAATTAGCTATATTATACTTTAGAAACAAACAACTAGCAGAAAATTGTATTAACAAAAATTCTAATCTTGCTATATGCCATCAAACTACTGTAACTGAATTTAAATATAATATTAAATTAGAAATTAATGAAGAAAATATTAAAAAAGTTTGGACAGAATTTAATAATTCAGAAAACCATGACAATATGGGAGATGAAGCAGATAAACCAAATACTAAAATTATATCTATGAATATGGTAACATCTACTAAATATTGGTCAATCCACACCAACACCCTTGTTAGCGAAACATTAATGAAAAAATTGGAATTAACTAGAGACCTAGATAAATCAGTGTCTTTCGTTATTAATTTAGGAGATAATATTAATATTAGACATGATGAATTGGAAAAAACTATTGAAGAACAATGGAAAGTTAAACCAAGAGTAACTTGCTCCAATGATAAAAAAATGTTCGCTGTTGTCCCAATTAATCAATTAGCTACAGCCTCAATCACTAGAGAGATTTATTTTGAAAATCATATCCTCAAAAATCTATCCTATAGCTATTACAAAAAGAAAAGTTTTAAAATTAAATTTAAAAAAATGGAAGAAGAATTAAAAAATCGTACATTGGAAAATGAAGTTCTTACTGAAAGTTTGGACTATTTGGAAGATAAATTTGAAACTCTCAAAACGAACATCAAAGAGGATTTTACATCTAGAATTACTTACCTAGAACAAGAAACAATTACCAAATCTATGCTGAAAGAAGAATTTGAATTAAATAATTCACAAATTTCAGTTCAATTTGATAAACATAAAATTGAGATGAAAGAATCTGTAACTAATCAACTAAAAGAAAATCATGATTCTATCATCAATCATATGAATATAACTATGAAACAAAATTTTGCGGGTTTATTTGAAGAATTTAGAAACCTAGGGGTACTTCCAACACCCAAACAATGAGTCTAAATAATCATATTCAATTAGCTACATGTAATCTATCGTGTTTTAATCTCTCAAAACAAACATGTTTGCTTAACAATATAGATAGACACAATCTGCACGTTATTGCAGTACAAGAGACTCACTGGGACATATCAAATAACGAACAACTCAGATTAGCAACAAATTTATTTAACAATTGTTACGTATTTAATAGTTTCAAACAACCAAGTGACCATTTTGGAGGAATATTAACTCTAATTAGAAAAGACACTCAAATTAACCTCCTTTCATATGAAGAATTAATCAAAGGCCGATTAACAAATGTTAAAGTAGAACTTAACAACAAAACTATTAATTTTGTTAATTGGTATGGAAGAATTAAAATGGACAATATATATTTTGAAATTTTTAATATACTAACAGAACTAATTCAATATTGTATGGTACACAATGAATATTTATATATATTAGGTGATACAAATATGACAACAATACCAAGCACCAAATTTAGCAGACTTTCTCCAAAAGATAAAAACTAATACAATGGATAAGCGAATATAGGTTGTATGATTTTAATTCAACAAACATTCAACCATCTTTCACACAATTCAATGGATCATCAGTATATGCTAAATCACGACCAGATCATATTATTGCTAATATTAACAATCACATATCTAGTAAAGATATTGACACCTTTACTCAACATAACATAGTATGTGCTACTGTTGACCTACAATATGAACCAAAAACTTTCTCTCTACCATTTACAAAAAATATATATAATTGGGAAAAAATTAAAGATAATATTGAAAATATTAAATTAAAAATTTTACAATCCAATTACAACACGGTAGAAGATATTCAAAATCATTTAATTACAATTTTACAAGAATTTACCTATCAAAAAAGAAAATCAAATAATGTAACAAATTGTAAAGAATATCAAGAATTATTCAAATTAAAAAACGATATTAACAAATATTATTTAAAAAAAAAGAAAAATTTAAATAAGAAAAGTATTGAATTATTTAATAATAATAACAACCCTTCCAGAGATGAAATCAAAGTTAAATTAGTAGAACTTGATGATAAAATGGATTCAGTTATTAAAGTTAAATTAAAGGAAAGAAAACAAGCATTCATTAATGAAGTTAATGATTTAACAACGAAAAAACCATTTAGTTACCCATTTAGAAAAGAATCTAAACACTCATCTATCTTCAATGTAACTAACTCGGTCAATTTTGAAAAAGAAATAATAGACCACTTTTCTAAAATGTTCAATACTGAACTCCCCAACTCTGACATTGAATTCACACATATAATTAATGATATCAACAATAATAATCAAATCAACCTATTCACATCAGAATCATTATATGAAACAATCTCAAATACGAAAAATTCAATGGCAGGGTGGGATAATATACCCATAAAATTCCTGAAATTGTTAGATGAAGAATGTATAGAAAAATTTGTAATTCCATTTAACAATATTCTTGAAGGAAAAACCCAAATACCACAATCATTCAAACAAGGTCTACTTCTTCCCCTTCCAAAAGTTAATAATCCTTCAAAATTGGGAAACTTTAGACCAATAGTGGTATTACCAACTCTATATAGAATTCTCTCTACTTTCATTAATTCTCAAATAATGAACATAATTAACACTAATAATAATTTATTAAATGAATGTCAAAGAGGATTCTTGAAGAATAGTTCAACAACAGATAACCTATCAGTAGTGAAAACAGTATTGAATTCATACTTGAACAATAACAAATCAATATTCATTTCTACATTGGATATTAAAAATGCTTATGGTTCTGTAATTCACTCTAAACTGATAGATATTTTAGAAGCAAAAGGATTTGATAGTCATATATGTAACCTTGTGAAAGACATGATCACCAATCATAAAATTAAGATTCTTGCTAATAATTCAGTGTCAGCAGAATTTAATTCAACACTTGGTGTTCCTCAAGGTGACCCTTCAAGCCCTATTCTCTTCAACCTATATTTCGATCTAATAACGCAAGTTATTAAAGAATTCAAAGGAATCTCATTTGGAGATATTAACGTGGTAATCTTATTATATGCTGATGATATAATTATTCTCAGTGAAACAGCATATGAAATGAATGCAATCCTAAAAAGATTAACAGAAATAGGAAATCAAATTGGATTACATTTCGCAGAAGAAAAGTGTAAAGTAGTAGGTATCACACCTGCAGGTAACAGGTCAAAAGCAAAAATCTGGATGAATAATATTAATATTAATAACAAAAAACATGACTTGGAGTACCTTGGAGCCATTCTTAATGGTAGTAATTTCAACTGGAATACACCATCCAGTGTATTAGATAAAATTACATTCAGAACTCAATCTTTCAAACCAAAAATGTTAAAACTAAACACTGCAAGAGTGGTGTTTCAATCTAAAGTAATATCAATCCCCAGATACTTATGTAGTGTCGGTTGTTTCCCAAAATCTAAATTGGAGAAATTGGATAAATATATTTCAGGACAAATCAAAATGAAAATGGGATGGGATTGTAGACTGTCTAAAGCAGTAATGTATGGAGAAAAATCTATTGGGGGTCTAGGACTAATATCACCCTCAAATATTTACTATATAGAACAATGTGCTGCTTTATACAGATTTGTTAACTCATCATCGTCTATTACTCGTTATGTGATGAGAAAAGCATTACTAGATGTGGAACAAGCATTAGACAGCAACAACTATTTAGAAGAATTTATTTTAAATTTAATTAACAACAACTGGAATTGGATCGAACCAAGAAATCTAGATTCTTCAGAATGGATATTAATCAAGCAAAACAAAACTTCACCAGACATCAGGCAAGAATTACTAGCTCATCTTAGAAGTAAGATGACACCTAGCTTGATGGGCAATTTAGATAAAAATAACGAATGGCACAGATTGACATTAAATTTCTGGTCTAATCCAACACTTTCACTATACCAACAAAAGATATGCTTTGCAAACTTGCACAAAGCAATTAGAATCAATAATATTGATGACAAAGAACCAATTATTTGTGAATCCTGTAATACCAGTGCAACTTGGGATCACATATTTTGGGAATGCTCTCGATGTATACACGAACGTACTGAATGTCAACGGTTATATGATGAAATCTCACTCACCTATAACCTTAATAAGATTGAAATCAACACAACATCAAGCTCCCCATCAACTCTTACTTTCTCTCCAAATGGAATCATCTTAAAATCAAATTACAAAATATGGAAAAAGAAAAAGATCGTTAAATCAGAAGTTCTAAATCAAATTTATAGAATTTACGTTCAATATGTTGAAAATTGTTACAAAAATTCTGATTGGAACTCAAAACTAGGTCCAAAAAGGAACTACTCTATCTCAACAAAACAAAAAAACCACCCTACATCATGGCAAATCCACCAACAACTAAGCCAACGATAACTTCATAGTCAGAACCGTACCGGTTCTAACTACCAAATAAACAAACCCTACATTTTTTTTGGAAACATTGAAAAAATTTACAATTTAATGAACTCGAATTTAAGAACATACAACCACTATAACAACAAAAAAACAACTGATTATCAATGGAAGCACCATCATCATCAATATTACCATCAACCATCATTGAATACTTGCAAAAAATTGAGAGTGCAAATCCCTTACTAACAGACAAAACATTTGTGTATGATCGGGATTTGGAAAATTCAACCACAGTCAAATATCATAACATTCCTCACGAATTTAATGCTGACACACTCGTACCAGTAGCCCATGGATCGGAATATCCCAATGAGATGTTTTTTGCTCGTACCTTTGAAAATGATCCCCACAAGAGCAATAAATACCTTGCAGAATTGGATAGGTTGTGTGATGAGTTATTAGGTAAGAAGTTGAAATGTTCCTATAGTTATGCTGCTGGTGGATTTGAGAGTTACTTTTGTGAGGTTGGATTTCATTATTATGGCATTGAGGGATTGTTTTTGCTGGTTTTCAAAACGGAATTTCAAAAGGATTAATAAGCAAAACAACCAAAATAAAAACTGAATGTATCTTTTTATCTGAATTTTAGATAATTTGTTGCGAAGCAACATTTAAAAGTCTTATTCGAGGATTAGTTACATTCAATATTTGTATGTAAACACAAAGTGAACTTGTTCCTTTTTTTAATCTTTAAATAGCGCACAATTCATTGGGCATTTAAGAATTCAACACTAAAAAAATAACTCAAAATGAATAACAACAACAGATTAGTAGGAGAACAAGATTTAAACCCACTATCTGGTAGTTTTAGACCCATCAATAGTAATGGCCCTACCCCAATGAATGGTGGAATTGGTGGAAATCAAGTTGGTCCAAATAACCCAATCTTTAATCCAAACATTCCATATTCAGCACCACCTATTAGACCTCAAATTCTTCCAGGTTCTAGATTTGATCCAATCAATCCAACAATTGGACCATTTGGAGGTGGTGGCAATGGAGGAGGAAATACTTCATCCTCATTTGGTAATATTAATCCTAGTCATCACAAACCTCCACAATTTGAAGATGAGGATTTTTAAAGATATTCTCAATGAATAATAATACTAAGTTTTGAATAATAGTATTGAATATAGTACTTCGCGAGTGTAAATAAACAAGAATATTTGAAGGTTCATTCCCATCAAGTGTTATTTCCAAGGTGTTATCATTGATAATAATCTTGTTCTTTGAAGGGAAGAAATGGAAAGAAATAACCTTAATAATTGCTAAAAGTACCAAACAGATCCAGAAAAAATTGCCTTTGGTGACTGACTGAGAGCACTCTTCCATCGTTAAACTATTCCAACTGGAGGAGCGTCATACAGTGAGCGATGGTTTATTCAAATTCATTTTTCTTCAACTTCTTCATCATCCTGAACATGTAATGTCTTTGGTCCTTCGAGTCCAATCGAACAATATGTGGTCACTTTTAACGTACGTTGATCTCCACTGTTCTCGTATTGATTAAGAGTCTCGATAAATCGATTGTAGGCTGCTAAATTCTCCACCTTGAAGTGAATTTCCTCTCCTTCATCATTCAACACAGCAATCATGTGAGTTTCCCTGTCCAAATTCACAAACACATACTCCTTCTCTGAAACGACAGGAACAATTAAATCACTTGATGATGGTACAACAATTTGATGTCTTTCACCAGTGATGATATCATGAGCTGTGATGAACATTTTACTTCCCATCTTGGTTTTTGTTGGTTTGGACATTTTGCTCTGTTAGTGTGATTCCAGGGTGTTGATGTTTTTTAAGGTAGATCCTGCTGTACAGGTTACTTTTCAAATCACTACTCCTGCCTTGTTCACAAATTGTAATAGGTTCAACAATCCTTACAGACAACATGACACAGTACAATCATGATCACTGTTTATTCAACTTTTGTTGGATAATTGTGATGAGGTGTGAAATCTTGGTGTTGTCTTCCTTTGGTTAATTCAGACAATAAAAACCTCTTTTGGGAGGGAGACATTCATTTCCACTGTTTACAATATTGAGACTATTCTTTAAATGTAAAAATATCAAATGAATAGAGTGGGAGGTGATTGTGGAAGATTTGATTGGATTTCTATATGATGTGCATCATGTCGCCATTCTTCCAATAACTTTCTCATCCTTTCGTTTGACCTTCTCAACCTTTCGAATACATCCTTCAAATTAATTAATGTTTGAACCTGAACTGCATTTCTTCCTCACATGTTGCACTATCAATCTTGAATAGAATTTCCTCCCTCAATAGGTGAATATTTGGCATATTCAACTCATAAACTCCACCAAACGTCAGATAATTATCAACAACTTGAAATGCCAGTAATTTCCTCTTTTTGAAAGTGCTAGCTAATTTGAATTTGGAAATGTCTTTGTAAACAAGGACACCTTCAGGACAGAATGATCTCCTTGAATATTCCAGTAACATTTCACAAGTTTCACTCTTATTTAAAGCCCATTCCAATTCAGAATCGAATACTTCCACCTTTTGATATCTCTTCATAATAGAATAAATTACTGGAAGAGTCACTGTAACAATTATTTCCAAACTCAAGTACAGAAACATGATCAACCCAGCAGGTATAATATGATCCACAACTCTATAAAACGATTGACCTAAGGTAATATATAGTCCTACACAAACTACTTGAAGAATCAGTATCAAAATAGACTCCACCTTAATAAAGTATGTGTCCTTCTCAGTTTTCAATAGAAGAACCAAACACACAAGTTGAATAATCAAATAGACACAATAGGTGATTCCACCAATGTATGTAATGGATTCTAATGCATAACATCCCTCAAAGGAAAGCATTGATTCGTCCTCCATTAGAAATCTCGAATTTGGATGTAAAGAATCTTCAAAAATTGCTAATGAAAACCAGAATATGATATGAAATCCATAAACGGCTAAAAATATAGAAATTAACCATTTGTGGGATTGTAAAATGTAATTGGAATAAATGAAGAATTTCTCTATTTGTTTTAGGTTTTGATGTGAGGCGATTTTGTTTCTAATAGTTTTCAGAACGGGAGCTCTATACACCATTACTGGAATCAAAGTATTTGGACTGTTCGGTGAAGAATAAACTGAACTAATCACTGTAACAATATCATTTTGCTTTTCATTTTCTCTGAATTTTGATTCTTTCAAAAGGTTGAATCTCCATTGTACATACACTCTTAGACATCTAATAATTGTTGGAATGGAGAAACATGGTGGCATTAGAAAGAAAACTAAACTAAATAAGATACAAGGGAAGATTTCTCTACCAATAATAAACCTTAAAGAAAAGATGGTAAATACAAAGAAACTTGAAACGAGAGTAAAAAACATGCCAGCAATTGTCCTAGCTCTGATATGATCCGAGTTTCTGTTCCATACGAAACCAATTATACTCGAAACTACAAGCATCAAATAAACCCCCAAACACAACCCTGACAGAATCGGGACTGACAATACATCAGGACACTGCCCAGGAAAATTCCTCATGTCGTTTACCATTTTCAAGGAAAAAAACCAGCTTGGACATTGTGTATTATTGAAATGGGGTAAATGTGGTTGTTGTTCCGTTTGCTGAAAAGCAAGAGAATGGAAGAAGAGGGAATATTTGGGAAATGTTGCAGTGATTGGTGGGTTGTTCATATCATTGAATTGTATTTTTTTGAGAGAATGATAGGGTTTGAAGTGAAAGATATCTCATGCTCATATTAAAGGGAATAAACGATATTTCAATCTTTGCCCATTAAGGAGATTATGAATTAAAGTTAAATTGATGATTAAGAAATTAAGATAATGTTAGTCATGAGGCCGTCATAGCTCAGTTGGATAGAGCACAGGACTTCTAATCCTGGGGTCGTGGGTTCGAGCCCCATTGTCGGTAAATGTTTTTAGTTTTTTATTTTGAAATATTTGTGCTTAACGTTACTTATTTAACTCTTGCTGTTGGAGGTGATCTTGAAGAAACTGGAATATTATCTTTTTCTTTCCACTCTTGCAATACCTTTCTAATCTTCTCATTAGCATATCTCAACCTTTCCAAAACATCTTGCAATGTGAGAAGAGCTTGAAATTGGACCTCCTCAAACAAGTCGTCTGTCAATTCATCATTACACATTGCACTATTGATTTTCAACAAGATGTCTTCCCTTATAACATTCATATTTGGTAAATTCAGCTCGTAAACTCCACTAGATGTCAAATAACACTTCACAATGTCCAAGGCAATGAGTTTTCTCTTTTTAAAGCATCTAGCCTGTTTAAATTTGGTAATATCCTTATAGACAAGAACACCTTCAGGACAGAAAGATCTTCTCGAATATTCCAACAATATTTCACAAGTTTCATTCTTATTAAGAATAAACTCCAATTCATTACTGAATACTTCAATTGTTCTCAAATCTTTCACAATGGCATACAGAACTGGTAATGTTATAGTGATGAATATCTCAGCTCCACAGTAATAAATCATAATTAGGCCAGTTGGGAATACACGATCATATACTTTGAAAAAATCCATTGTACAACAAATATATATAATGGCAGCTGTAATTTGAACAATGATTGTAATAATTGTTTCTCCTTTGATAAAGTATGTATCCTTTTCAGTCCTTAATAACCAAATAAAAGCCACAACTTCAATAATGAAGTAAAACACAAAAAGAATGATAATTACAATATTGATTGGCGGTTTTGTGTAGCAACCTTTCAGTGATATCATTGAAGCTTCCTGCATGAAAATCATTGTCTCTGAAAAGAAAGATTCCTCCACGGCTGCCAAACTAAACCAAATCAAAGATTGAATTCCATACACGCACACAAATATGAAAGTTTTCCACTTTTTTGAATGGAAAATAAGATTTGCTTTTCTATAAATGTTTTCCTTCTCCTCAATCTTATTGTGAAGATCTAGATATTGTTTAAATTCTGTCCATTTGTCCTGATTAGTTTCCAATATTCGATTTGGAAATGTTAACGACCCAGTCAATATTGGACTCGATGGCGTTCGACACACAACACCACTCCCTATCAATTCTCCTTCACCACCTCCATTCATTTCTTTACAATTTTCATCCAATTCATTCTTTCTCATTTCATTTTCCTTAAAATTCTGAGCTTTAAACCAATTCACTCTCCACTGAGTATAAACTCTCAAACTCCTCAACGTATTTGGCACTGTAAAACTTGCTGGCATCATGAAAAACATGAAACTGTATAATAAACATGGAAATTGCTCTCTGGAAATCATGTACCTCAATGAATAGACGCTCACTATGAAAATACTTGAGAAAATTGTAAAGTGCATGCCAGCTGTTGATCGTGCCATGACGTGGGTGGAGTTTCTCTTCCAAATGAATCCAAATATTGAGAGAGAAACCAGGCAAATATAAAATACGAAAGATAGTCCTGAAATTATGGGAACGGAAATGGCATCTGGACATTGATCAGGGATGTTTCGATTACGAGGGACGAGAGTAAGGGAAAGTAACCAGGTGGGACATTCTGTGGAATTGTTATTGGAAGTAAGATTAGTTGATGAATTGCTTTCGTATAATGTTTCGAATAATGTGTTTGATACTTGATAAAACATTGTTCAAGAAGATTGTTGTTTTTTCTTTTTAAATTACATCATTCAGTATCTCTTAAAATTAAAAAGAATGGTACTTTTAATGACAAGGATTGACTTGAGAAACTATTAAAGACAAGGATAATCATCTTGAGAAAAGGGAAAATATTTTACAATAGAGATTTCGATAAAATTGAAAATGTTTAGAATTTGTTTTTCTTCTCATTTTCTTTGTTATTCGAAAGATAATTGGTTAAATACGAAACTCAATGAAATAGTCAATCTACAACATGCTTTGAAACACCTCAAAAAATTTTGAAACAAACATGACAACAATTCAAGCTCTTTATTCGTCAGGAAATGTCAAAAGTCTTTTCGTTATTTTAGTGAAAGGTATTAAAATGCCACATTTCATTTTCATGCTTGTTTCTGTCATGCTATCTGTCAAATCCTTCCAAATGCAAACAAGTTTCAACCACTGGCTCTTTGAAAATTAATTGATCAAAACGAAATTATAAAAAAATGACAGTTGGCACCTCGGTACTGTCAACACAAAGCTACTTGACAGAGTGTGATCAATTTTCGATATTCAACTTGCTATCTTCAACAGCAGAAAACAATTCAACAACAAATTCAACTCTAAGAGATGAACTGCCATCATTTATTTCAAATGTCAGTTCTCTGTCAAACTCTGCTTTGTTTCTAATGTCATTTTCCATCTTTTTAATAACAGTTGGATATTTATTCTTTGTGAAAGGAAGAAAAACATTGATTAAGAGAAATCAACAAATTTTAATTGGATTAGTGACAGCTTTTGTCTTTATTCAAATGATTGCTTTGATATTTCGTGTCATTTACAATGGAATATCATTGAATTATAATTTACATCCGGAAATCCAAGTGGAAATTGATGGATTATTCATTTTTACACAAATATGTGCCATGTTAGAAACTGCAATTGTTGAAATTCAGTCCATTACAATATTTGTATTGATGGGTTTTATTATGAATGTGTTGTAAGTATATAAATATATATATAATTGGATAAATATTTACATTTTTATTAAAAAATTATTGTTTAATATATTTAAATACTTTACAATAATATATTTAATATTTAAAAATATTATAATAGTTTACAAACGGTTCATCATGCAGGAAGTATGTCGAAAAAACAATTTACCATCATGAAACTCCTCTCCAATCTCCTCACACTTGCCAGTTCTCTCATCACTCTCATTCTTGTCATTATGATTGCTGTCACAAATTTTCTTGTAAAAATTCATGCAGCTCAATTCAATCAGACAGTTCTCTATGTTTTGACATTGGTTGTGTTTATAATAGAAGTGACGATTCAGACTATTCTGTATATTTATTTTGGAGTGAGGGTTTTGAGAACAATTAAGAAACGTTCATTGAAATTGAAACAAGAATCGAATAGAAATGCATTTGTGAATTCTATACAGAAACCATTGACCAAAACGTTTGTCTTGTTGATTTCGATGGGTATTTCGACGGTTTTACAAGTTTTGGCTGCTATTGCTTCAGTGTTGGCTTCGTCTTTCAGTTCTGACTCAAATGTGGTTTCGTATTTTTTGAATTCATTTGGAATTTTACTATTCGCAGGATGTGTTGTGTTAATGTACAATCCACTCCTCTCAGATGAATATAATAACATTGATTTGTATGAAGCTAAAGAAAGAGAGAGACAATTATTATTGAACGAAACTTCATCGATGGGATCTGAATTGAGTAGTCCAAGACAATCATTCTTTACCAACTCACCACGAAATCATAGGAGAACTAGTCAACAATTTCCATATGAACATTCGAATGCCATTAGTAGAATTGTGAGTGATAGTTCAATGACAAGCTCAGCAACAATTACTCCAACCACAAGCTCAGTAAATCTTCCACAACAAGAAGAATCGGCAACAACAATGAATGATCAATCAGCAATTGAGGAAAATAGAAAATCCATTGTGGTTAGTCTAGTCAATTTGAAAGATTTAGTTACATCGCCACCAGAAGAAGTTCAAACACTACCAAGTGTCACTTCACCATCCACAACCATTGAAAGTTGTGAAAATCAACAATTTTAATTTCACGCACATAGTAAGATATAATTAATCCATACTAGTATTCTAATGAATTTATTTTTCAATTAAAATAAAAGAAAATAAACTGCTTAATGATCCCACCACAAAATTCCTCTGTGCTTTTCATTTCTCTTCAAAGCAACACAATGTTGCAAATTATGATACAAAGCTCCAAAGAAACTCTTTGAAGTTTCATCCTTATGATAAACTCCGAGTTTAGTTCTAATAGCTCTAGTAGCTTCTTCAGCATGATAGAATGGAATCTTTGAGAAAATGTGATGACAAACATGAGTGTCAGTAATGTGATGGAGTTTAGAATCCAAGAATGAACCAAATGAACGATCTACAGTACAAATAGCACCCTTCAACCAATTCCATTCACCTTCATCCAAATGAGGAATGTCATCATGAACGTGTTGTAAGAAAGTAAGAGTAGTAAGGAAGAAGAATTGGACTAAAAGTGGTAAAACATAAGTAGTGACCATAACTTGCCATCCAAAAACTTGGAATAATTGATAAACAATGTATAACATGGCAATAACACCAAAATTGGACAAGTGAATCTTGAAAAATTCACTCTTATTGAAAATTGGTGAAGATGGTAAAAAGTGGGAAGTGAAACTGATTGGGGACTTTTTAGAAACTTGCTTGTAATCAGAATATTCATTTTCAGCATCATGTTCTCCATTGTCATTAATCATTGCTGGTTCATAACGAATACCCTTAGCATAGTAAGCATAGAAATTTTCCTTAATTGGTCCAGAAATATTGACCAACAAGTGAAGTGGCCAACCAATAGTAGCCATGACAATCATATCAACAACTGCAGAAAAGGCTGATTCAGATTTTGGTTTCATTTGAACATTCTTAGTTTCTTCTGGCTTTTCAGCTGGATTATGGGAAGGAACTGGTTGAATGTTTTGTGGAACCCAAGTTTGATCTCTGGTCATGTGATTAGTATTGGCATGGTGAATGGCGTGTGATTTCTAATAACAGTACATAGTATTCAAAAGAATTAAGTTTTAACACATTCACAGTTTCAAAACAAACTTACTTGCCAAGCAAAGTATGGAACCAACAAGGCACTTCCAATAAGATAACCAACAATATCACAAACAAGTGGACTATCAGCAAAGGCATAGTGACCACATTCGTGCTATTTAAATTCCACACACAAGTTATATTAATAATTTTCACAAATTCGTTCGGTCCGAAGAATTCACACGTACACAATAAAATTCAAAGAAGGTAAATTGTGTGAAAAGGGTAAAATTAACTTACTTGAAGAACCCACAAACCAGTAAAAGTAACACCTTCAATGAAAACATAACTACAGAATAGAATACTTTGCAACAAGTAATAAATTGGACTCAAAACCAACAAACTTGGATTAGAAAACCACCAACTTTCCAACAAGTTTGAAAAGTAATAATAGGCAACAGTGTAAGCAACCAATTGAACCAAGTCAGAAATAACATGAAGCATACTAGTCATGACTGGTCTTTGGAAACAATGTTTTGGAATGGCCTCTTTCAAATCACGAAGTGTGAACGGAATGGCATCACCATGATAGAGTGATGAGAGAGTTTCATACTTTTCAACACCATTGGTTGATGAGGCAACTTGTTGTGCACTCGATGCAGATGCAGCTGACATTTTTTTCTTCAAGTAATCTTTGCAGTTTTGCATTCCATCCGCAATTATTATTCAATCATCTTCATAGTCACCTCATTCCCCCAAACACAAACTCCCCAGAATGATTGAATGCTTCTTCTTTGAGGTTAATACGTGTTGTACAACAACGGACGGTAGAAAATTCAAAGAGTCGGGATTTTCCAACACGGCACTCCCATTAGCTCCGAATTTAGTCATTTTATTCTTCCATGTGTACAATTCGCAAATGCATGTGTGTGGACAACGAAAACAAGCTTGTTTCATTACATCTTGTTTTGGAAAATAAACACACAGACTATGGGAAGATTCATCTTCTGTTCGTTTCAATGTTGTTGTTGGAATTTGAATTGTTCATCATCATCATGGCTTGTTGCTGTTGTTGAAATCGATTGCTGCTGGCTAAACTTCGAACAGGACTATGAGCATGTCCCAAACTCATTGTTCTCTGGAGTTGTTGGAGTCGTTCAAAATTTCTCCTCAATTCCATTTCCTTCTTTTGCTCCTCTGTTAATTCAATATGCCATGGTCGAATGATACAAATAATGATTGAAATCATTAGACAAATAACTAACAAGACAAAAAGTAAGGAACTTCCAAGTGTTGCTGAAATGATAATAATGTCATTCAAGGAAGGAACAATGTAAATTTGATTACAATCCTCTGATTGACATCTTAAACCTACCGCTCTGACAGTAGCAGTGACATTGAGGGTCAATGAAGAGGAGGAGAATAGTTTAGAGTAGGCGCTTTGAGAAATACCTACTGCAAACTTGGTATCCTGAATCGTTTCATAATTTGCTTTCTTCATGGTGCTGTCAGCTTCGAGAGAGCAAACTTCCAATTCTGCTGTGGTTGGTTCAACAATGGAGGCATGATAGGTCCACAATGGTTGTCCAGTAGTTTGAGAGAAGGTTGGGTTGGTTAACCTGAGAATTAATCTGTACATTGTGTTTGTTTTGATTTCGTTGCAGATTTTTCTGTCAGTTTCCAATTCTGACTTTCTCGTAGCAGTCATAAGATCACCTGGGAGATTAGGATAAATTTGAATTCTGACTGGCTTTCCAACACCAAATTGAGATACTTGTGCTTGGAGGTAGTATTTTCCATCGGTAGACATGAGCCACAACTCGAAACTATTTCCCATAGATAAATCATCGAGAATGAAATCTGCAAATGCCACCACATCACTAATGATATTATCTTCAATGCTTAGTAGGGAACGTCTTTCATTGGATGTTGTAGAGTTGAAGGTTGAAACTGCCTTCAAGCATGTTCCTTGAGCATTATTCACAATGGAAAGGAGAGGAGCACCTGTTGTGAGTGGAATTTTAGTATCGTAGGGAATCATTTTTGAATAGACATCATTCATCGATTGGAATTGATTCAAAAATTTGGATCGAACATTTCTGTTTGACAGTGGTGAAATGAATTTCAAGGCAATTTTCTCCTCCTCAATTGAACAATCCATTCGATTGTATCCATAATTGAAAGCAACACATTTATATCCCTCACTGCATGATGAAGAAGGATTAAACCTAGAATGTTGAACCAATGTTGCACAATTAGTGGAATATGAAACTCCAATCAAGTGGCCGAACAAATCCTTTCCCTTCATCTTGATATTAATGGAGGAGAGTTCAGGATTGTATTCCTTATTTTCTATCGAGGTGATTTTTGGAGAAATTCGTCTTATAACATGTCCGTTAAAGGATTTCTTCTTTGAGACTATTGAAAACTGTTCAGATTTTGGAATGATAATCATTTGATCATTTCCAAAAAGAAATGAATCTTCTAGAGTATCATAATGTTCAACAATTTCAATAGAGCTTGTCTTTCCAATTTCAACCCAAGAATCAGGTAATATTGAATAAATCACCATAACTCCTTCTCTCTTGTGTGTTAAGATTACTCTTGTTTCAGAGTTTGGACCATTGAATAAGGTGAATTCATTGCAATCAATAAGAGGATAGAAAGTTTCCTTTTCAATTTTAAAAGAATCTTGATTAATTGAAATTTCCACAATTTTCAATTTCTCATCCTCTCTAACCATGCATTCCACATTGTTTCTTCTCGTTTTGAATGTGCAAGATAAATCCTTCATTGATCTCAAATCTTTCATGAGCAAACTTCCATGATTAAGTATTATATTGGAATTCAAAGAAATAGTAGATAATATTATCCTCTCTTCCGCATCCAATTCAATAAGGTAGACTCTCTGAGTTGACTTTGAATGGAAAATGTTGATGAATTTACTCTCAAAACTTGAGGGAGTAATAATCATATTGAGGATACTTTTCGAATTTGCCTCTAGTGAATATTTGCTGATTAGATACACTCCTTTACTCTCCACTAGTTGATATAGCTCATCATCTTGACTCAAATAGGATGCAATTACAATAGGGGATTCGACAACTATTTCATCACTTTCCCTACTACTTGTTTTGGTGGCAACACTCGAGGAGTGAATAATAGAGTTGGAATTATCCTCCACTACATGTAATTTGGTATTATCTAGATATAACATGTAACGATCTGTTAATTTCGAAAGAGTCCTGATGGAGCAATTTTCAAGTAATGTACAATTAGTGTGCTCGCAATAAGGACCATAATATCCTTCCCTACACTCACATAGGGAACTCTGTTCATTAGTTTGGAGTAATGAAGATGGTTGAAAACCCCTTCTTCCAAGAAAACATTTATATTGCAGCTGTTGCTGATGTCCCGATGCTGCTACCTTAATATTATTACTTAACAGTTGAACAATTACTACCACCAATATACACAACAGTACCAAACATAAAGACACCCTCGGCCTAGAAATACCATTACAACTACTCTTGTTGTGGGAGGTTTTCATCATTTCTTTTGTTTTTTTGTTGTATTAATACTGTAAAGGTCGTAGCTTGTTTATTATTCGGAAGGAACTGTATTTTTCATAGCAGAATTGTTGTTAGAACCATTGAATGGTGTAGAATGAGATTGTTGAGGAGGATTTGAATTAGAAAGACCTCCAAGATTCATATTGGAAATGTTACCATTATTTCCCATAATTGGATTCCATGAGAAAGATCCATAACCTTGGAATAAGGACCAAGATGCATTTGAAGCTTGTTGTTGAGGAGCTTGTTGAATGGTGTTAGTCATTGGGAATGAACTGGTACCACCAAATAAATTAAAGCCTGGATAGAGGCCATTACCCATTCCTAAATTGTTTGTTGGGTTGTATTGTGGCATCATATTTGGATTGCCATATTGCATGCCCATATCAAAAGGATTGTAAATGAGAGAATTTGCTCTTGGAGAATTGCCATTACCGTTAGATGGTGATAAATTATTCTTGGCAATATTTCCAAATGATGACGAATCAAATAGAGTATTGGATCCGCCAAACAATGAATGTTGATTTTGGAATGGTTGTGGATTTGGTAAGGCGTTTGAACCACTTCCAACACTATTTGGTGATGATGTGCTAGCTCCACCAGTGGTAGACGGAGTGGTAGAACGCTTAAGTCCTGAAAGCATTAAATATTCATCCTCATTCAAAAGTTCTCCAACAACACTTGAAACAGTGCTATTACCACTTGGTGTTTGATTAACAAATGGATGCATTGGTGACTCCAAACTTGTACTAGTATTATTGCTACTAACACTGCTACTACTCTGTTGTCTCGAGTGCTTGGTAATCTTACTATTAGCTCCGTTGACAGCACTCGGAAGAAGAATAAATCCTCCTTGTTGTTGAGTTTGTACTGGTTGTGGTTGTTGAGTTTGTTGTTGAGTTTGTGGTAATGGTTGTAAAGTAGGAACTGGAACTGGGAGAGGTGTTCCAGTAGTGTTACCATTTGAAGAAATAATTGTTGTAGAACTTGTTGCAGTCTTTACGTGTTGACTATGGAATTGATGACTTGCTTGATGCTTCTCATTACTAGTAGGCGTGTTCTTTGAAGGTTGATTATTGTTAGAAATAGAATAATAGGATGATAGTTTCTGAGGAGTGTTACCACCAGTAATATTGCTTGTGGTTACCTTTTGAGGAGTGCTACTTGTTGATACTGGAGTTGTTACCTTGGAAGGAGTACCTGGTGTAGCAGTAGTAGTGTTAGAATTACTAGTGCTAGCTGGTCTAAGGGATTGGGTTGTCATTGTATGAGGACCACCTCTGCCACCCCTAACAGATGAGCCACCTCTGCCTCTGTTAGAATAGGTGCTATAGGTTGTTCCTCTTGGTGTTGTTGTGCCAGACACAGATCCGGCAACAGCTTTTGGTTGTTTTGGCTTTTTAGTAACAACATTCCAATCTTGAACAGCTCCTCTATTCTCAAAATCATCATCGTAATCATAGTCCAATGAATCATAATAATCATCCTCTTCTTGTTCTTCAGTATTGAGATAATCTTGTTCATAATTTTCATCAGCAGAATCATAATCATTATTTGTACTACCGATACTTTGGTTTGGTGAAGCAACATCTTCGGAAGGTTTAGCCTTAGGTAATTCAGTAGGCTTTTCTGGAGTCTTGTTTTGATTGGAATTTGATTTCTTAACTGGAGTTGCAAGCTTTTCTTCCTTCTTCTTATCCTTATTCTTTTTAGATGATTTCTTATTATTCTTAGAATTCTTGGATGTGGTTGCTTTCATTTCTGATTCTCTTTCAAATTCTTCGAGGAGACATTTTTGCATTTCCGAGGCACATAAATCATTATATGCTACTCTAATATTATGTGAAAACAATCTGGCAAGATAAATTTGGAATAATAACTTGCTTTCTCTCATATTAGATGCTAGAATTTCATTCTTTTCGTCTTGCTCTTTTTGATTATCCCCTTCTTTTTGATGTCCATGTCGTTTATCTCTAGAAATTCTTCTCTTTGAATAATATTGGTCATCATGATCGAAAGATCTATTCTTTAAACGCATTTCTGAATGATTAGTAGAACCCTTATCATTAGAAATTTCCTCATCTGTATCTGATTGTGAATATTCATCTAATGTTTCCTCGTCATCTGTTTCACTCTCGAGATCTTCTTCGTCACCTTCTTCATCGTCCTCCTCTTCTTCCTCTTCCTCTTCGTTTTCCTCATCAATAGCTTCTTCATCATCCTCCTCCTCCTCTTCATCATCGTCATCTTCTTCATGTTGCAAGTTATTGAGAACAACAGTGGCATTTGTATTCGATTCACCACCTCTAATAAGATCCTTAACATTTCCTAAATGTACCATAGCAATAGAACCATTTACAACTTTCATATTTTGAGAAGATCCTGATCCTGTTGATGTCATATCAATGCTACCACTCACAACAAGAGCTGCTGTTGAAGAGGTTTGAGAAGATGATGAATGAACCACAACGGATGATTTTTGACTGGTATGTGTTTGAATAGTTGATGATGTTGCTGTTATTGTTACAGAGGGTGGAACTTGTACTTGCAAATGGGAAGTGGAAAGGGATGAATTTTGGGAATTAGTTGGAGTTGTTATTTTGCTACTCTGCTTTGCATTATCCGTAACCATTTGTACATTTACATTATTCAAAACTGTGCCATTAGAACCAAGTGTTAATGTTGCTGTAGCACCACCTTGCTGTTGTTGGAATAAATTCAAAATTTGACTAGTCATTACGTTTGAGTTAGTAGGATTCGTCTGGTTTTGTGTTTGTGGTGATGTAAGGCTATGATGATGATTATTGTTATTATGATTATTTGATGAAAAAGCTTTCTTTGCATTCTTCAAGAGTATTTTCTTGATATTAACTTCGCTATTGGCTGTACAATAATTTATGAGAGTGTGAATATTCTCTGGCACTGGAAATTCATTCGGTCCTAACTTTAAATCATTTGGAAAAGCTTCTTCACACTTTTGTATTACTTTCAAAAAGTGCTCACAATTATCTCTTCTAACATAGTCATCAATTACCGTAATCTTTCCGTTTTTCACAGTCAAATACCTTCCAAAAGGTAATGGTACTTCATTTTGTGGTGAAGTAGAATCGCTAGTAGCTATAGTTGTTTGACTTGTTTCACTTGTAGTTGTACTACCTGTAGAGTTTGTATTATTGTTATTTGCCTCGTCTTCAATCAAGAATTGTGTTTTTTCGGATATTTTGGAAAGCTGTTTACTAACAAGAACATGATCATTTTCACTGAGTGTTGTTGTAGCCTGTTGAGTATTGTTAGTAGGAACAGGTTGTTGTTGCTCTGCTGTTGTAGTTGTTGTTGTACTATTATTGGTAGTACAATCAGAGGAGATTGCGAGTGGTTGTTGTTGTTGTTGGGTTGGAGTAGTGTTTTTAACTTAGAGTGTTGAAATGATGCGGTTTTCCTTCTAACTCATTCACATAATCTTCAAAAACTAATTAAAATTGAATAAATATATACTTCTTCAATATTATTAAACATACCTGCAATCACTGCATTGAAAATAGCCTTCTTTTTTCTACAGGCAGGGCATAAACACGAGGAAGGTTTACTCAAAAAAGCTGGTTTATCACCTTCTTTTGTAGTGTAAGGTGATGAACAACGAATTTGGTCAAGAACAAATTTACAATCCATTTGCAATAATTGGAGCTTCTTTTTAATTGGAGCTTCCAACCAAAAATCTTGAAGGGTGTGTGGTATCACACCTTGTCTTTTTGACTTTTTAGATAAACCCTTAGGTTTATGATCATCACACAAAAAACATGAATCCAAATTTACAGGTTGTGTAAAAATATTTCTCACATTTGTAATATTTTGATTCGAAGCAGCAGCAACCACCGAAGATGATGAGGAACCATGATGTCCCGAGGTGGTTGAAGTAGACTGCTTTTTACTTTTCTTCTTGTTCGCCATTTTTTTTTGAACAATTTAGCGCCATTATCAATTTTAATGTAGTGAAAAAATATCAGTGTTTTGTCTCAGATTTCCGAAGAGAGAAATTCTTCTGCAGAAGAATATTTGAATATTAAATCAATCACTCTAACTTACAATATTGATTGGAATGTCCATCACTTATCATTTGAAAATTAATATTCTTCTTAATTATTTGATTGAAAATGAGATGGCCATTCCGAAAATCAATTAATCAAGTTGTTGGTTGTTGGCCAATAATCATTAATATGTGTGGATGTTTTAAAGTGGCTGGGTGATTGGGCCAGACGATTCGAAACGCTCACTAAAGATGACCAAAACAAGAAGTGAAAGTTTATTGATGAGAGAACTAAAAAATTGACTGAATTATTACTTTGCCTATTCACAAAGTTGTTGTATTTGCCAACATTAACTTTAGAATAAAGGAAGAATACGAAGTCAATAGAATAATAATCAATAGTGGAATGACAATTACTAGAAAGATAAAACGAATTGTTCTCCTCAAGAGGGAGGAAACATCAGATTCGAATAAGAATAATGGAAGTGATGGAAATAACAACAATACAATGACACAACAAAGAGGAAGAAGCAGCAGTGCAACAAGCACACCTGATTTGGCACCTCTCATTATTAGTGCATCATCGAGTACATCATCAATTCAAGATTCATCCTCACCAATGTCTGCTCCAAGCCACCACAGTTTGAATTCGCCTGCAATGGATTATGCTGTTGTGAAGGCAACTAGAGTTTCATCCATTCCACTAAATAATAGTGTAGATGAACACAACATGTTTAGACCTTTTATTTCAAAGACTCCGAGAGGAGCTCTTCAGTCAACACCAGGTTCAAGTAGCAGCATTTCATCTTCACCTAATGTTGGAACAATAGTGGATGATTCGTGTATTATTGAAACGAGTCAGCCAAGGGAATATGTCCCATCTCGATCGAATACAGTAATTGGAGGAAGGGCTCCAATGGAAAAGGTAGCAAGTGCCATCACACCTGTTGAAAACGACCTCTCAATGAACAAACTGGAAAATTTCGAACCAAGATTAAAGAAAACTAAAAGTGCCTCCACTATTACAGTCAAGAAGAAGGTTGTTATTTATACTCAGCCTCAAAAGAGTGAGATAACTGCCCCTCCAGTTCTGGAAAATGCAGCCAAGTTTTCACTCATTCAAGCTGTTAATAATGAAGAAAGATTGCAAAAATTGAAAGTGGAGGAGGTTGAAGAATCTCCTCTCGATGAGGAATCAACACGATCTTCCTTCAGTAATGGAAATATGGCTTCACCAGTGAATGTTTATAGCCCTCGAGCCTTTGAGAATGGTCTTCATTTGACACCCTCAAATTCAAGACCTTCTTTGGATGAAATTGGTGGAAATCCTTCGAAATTGTATGCATTTCTGGAAGATGGAGACTTGAGGAGGTCAGCCTCTCCTAGGAGAAGTACAATCGATGAAAATAGAAGATCTACCATCACCAAATCAGACATTGGAGAAGACTTGTTCAATAATGGTATTGAACTCGCTATTCCACCAGAATTAGAAAATGTTGGAAATTATGGACATGTCTCTTTAGAAAAATTCATGCAGGAAAGGAACAAGAAGTATAGAGGAAGTTTACGTGGACTACACTCACTAAGTCAAAAACCATCACTCTCTTCTATTGAAGAAGAAGGCCAACACGAACAGAGTTCAATACAGCCAAACGTTCAAATTTCTCATAATGTTTATGAAACAGATGGAGAATGCTCAAAATTTACCTCTTACAAATTGTCCAATTGCTGCAATGTACAATCTTCCCTTGACCAATCGACACTACTCGAATCGTTTTATCCTCTACCTGAAGGATCTTTATCATTTGAAATTAAATCCCTACCAGGTAATCAAGAAAGACAATTGAAAATTTCATTCAAGGCAAAGAAATCTATCAATGTGGATTTACACAAAATCATGATGGAAATTATTACTCACGATACTTCTAATGAAAGGATTCACCAGTTAGAGGACTATGAATGGTCAATGGTGATGGAAACGAGCAGTTATTTTCCAACGTCTAAGGACTTGCTGAGGAGAATCATCTCTGAAAATCAAAAGGATACATCACAAGGATTTCAATTTAAATCCTTTTCCCATTTATCGAATTTTATTGGAAATGCAATTCAAGAGGAGATTAAAAGAAGGTTACCACATTCATCATCAGGTATTAATGGGGAAAATCTTAGGTTGGCTCTTGTTTTTACTCAAAACGATTTTATACCCAACACAATCAGTTCAATTCCAGAACACAATCATGATAGCACAATTCAGGAATTGTTAAAGAATGAAAAAGTCGATTTCAATTTTACAGATTGTTTGGAAACACATTTTGGTAAGGAGATAGTATCTTGCTCAAGTAAGCTAATGTTCCTGTGCGTTCAGTTCTATTCGCCGCTGTTAGATTCAAATATTCAATTCAAACTACCTCTATTACCCAACAATGTCACAGGGGAAACACAGAGGGAGCAAGTTATTCAGACACTGGAAGAACAAGTTGCCCAACTAGAATCAGAACTTGAGGAGATACTATACCAAAAGTATATGTGGGAATTTTTAATGAAGTACACTTTCAAGGTTTTTGATTCACGGATTATTGATACAACTAGAGTCTCAATAATGAATCAAAAGAGGACACTCAAATATATTGGTGGAGAAAAGGCAACCTGGACCAGTTGTGTTTGTCGATGTCCCATTACACCAGGAAGATTTGTTGATGGCAACTTGGAATCGAATAGTGTTCATGGAGATTTGTCTTCACTCAAGACGAATCACATTCTCTCATTGAGATTGGACTCATTCCCAACAGGATCTGATATCTTTATAGGTATTATCAATGCAAACCATACAGCCGAACAAATACTTCAAAATTATGTAGTGAGCGGAAAGAGTGATTCGCACACCTTCTTCCTTAAGGATAAACAATTCAGGCATGGATCTCTAATCATCAACTCAATCTCGAACAATGCAGATAGTGAATATTCATTCTCAGACGGAGATGTCATACAAGTTGTTTTGAACTACTCGAACATGAACATTAATGTCTATAGAAATTACCAACGCATTTTGCCTTCATTTGCTCCAAATGCAATAGATTTGGAAAATACGGAATGGTATTTTGTTGTGGGATTAAGCCAAAATGGGCAGCAAATTACTCTAATATAGATGTTATATTGATGACTAGTCATCCAACTTTGGATTGAATATGCCATTGGTCTCCTCCAAATATCAAATAAGAGACTTGAGGAACATTGCGCAAGAAGAAACAGATAGTATTAATAATCCGAATACATCTCGTGTTTTGAAAGCAATCTCGTCATTAGAGCTTAAAATCACCAATTAAGGCTCTATTTTTGGACAAAGATATTATTAATCCAATATTCATTTTTTTTAGCGGAAGGGACCAATCAATATTGCCTTATGTGTAATTGATCAATTATTTAAGAGGAGGCGGGTAGGTTGGTTTTTTGGCTCAACAACAAACAAAAAAAACACACAATGTCTACTCAAGCCGATATGCAAAGAAGAAGAGCCAGAAGTATTTCAGTGCCAGAAACAGCTTCGCTATCATCATCGCTGCGATCAATTGATATTCTGTATGAGAAATTAATGCACTATCTGCAGGAAAATGATCAATTGAAAAAGCAAATACATACACTCAATGAAGAACATCAATCAGAAATTACCAAACTGAAAGAAATCAACTCTAGTCTCGTTTTTGAAAATACCCGATTAGAAAAGGCTCTGTATAGTATGAATGAAAATGACAATAAGGTCGATCAACAAGCTTCCATTCAACAAATCAAATATTCTCAACAGGATTCGTCGACCCTCCAACAACAACAAATGACCATTTCAAATGAAATTGAAGAATTAATGAGAAAATGTACAGAATACCAAACCGAGTTGAACAAGGCAAGAAATGAATTACAAGACAAGAATATACTGATACAATCCCTTAACACACAAGTCAAATTAAAGAAGGAAGAAAACGATCAATTATTAGAAGCATGTAACAGTATGAAATCCAATTTAAAGAACAATCATCAAACTATCAATGTGCTGTCGACCAATGTTAAAGAACTCGTTGATGAATGCTCGCAGTTTAGAAAGGATTGTACTCTCAGTATGAATAATATTCAGGACAAGTTTAGAGAACAATTCAAACACGTTCTGCTGAAACGATCTCAGAGAGAAGCATCCCATTCTGTATCACTAAGCCAATCCAATCTGTAAATAAATGTATACATGTAAATAATATTGTAAATATGTTGAATGAATCTTTTATGGAAGAACTGTAAATGATTGTTTTGAACAATTCTCTTATTTTGGGAAGATAAATTTCAATTAGATCATCTCTTCTTATTAAGGTGATGGAATCAATTAGACATACTTGAATAAAGCTTATGCCTTAATAAAATTTTAGGGATTAGACAGTGACTGTTATTGAAACTGGCGCACCAGAAACAATTATAAAAATTCAAGAGATATCAATTAGATCACTTTACAATGAAAAGTACCTATTGAATGCCTATCCATGTCACTCAATGTCAACTCAACTCTAAGAAAAATGCACAAATTATATCAACAACAATTAGAGCAAGCTTTAGAACAATTAGAATTTCCCTCCTCATCTTGCAACCCTTCACTTCTTCATCCAAATTCTCATCACTCTCTTCACCAACCATCAACAACATCATCATCCTATCATCACGCCACTAATTCAGCTAGGAAACAATTCTCCCTCTCACCTTCTTCCTCATCCTCTGATTATTACCCAAGGAAACGATCTCAAAGCGTTGTTGATTCTTCGGAAAATCAAATCGATGTTGCCTCATCACTCACTGCACTCGATGCTTTGCATGAAAAGCTGAAAATGTTAAGTCAGGAGAATAAACAAATGAAAATGCAATTGGATGGCTGCACCTGTAGAGATAATATGAAAAAAAAGGGTTTTGGCGGGAGTTTTGAGGGAGCTTCGTATCAAGAGTTGGATTATGAGAATTTTATATTAAAGAAGGAGAAGGAAGAGTTGGTGGCGAGAGTGGGAGTATTGGAGAGGAGAATGAGAGAAATGGAGAGTAGGAAACGAGATTGGGAGAATAAGGAAGTGATAATTGAGGAAAATGAAGCGGAGGATTCGAGTAATTTTGACTGCTTGATTGAGGAAAGTAATGAACAGGAGATTGTGGAAGATTTATCTATTTTATTAGAGAATGAAGAAATTGTAAACGAGAGAAAATCAATGGAAATGAGAACAACAGCAACTTTGGATATTTCAATCCAATGTGAATCAATTGAAAAAGAAGATAAAGAAACAAATACAAATGAAACAGAACCAATGACTGTAGATAATGAAATTAAGAATAATATTCAATTAGAAATTGAACAGAATAATCTGGTGCTTCCTTCTTTGGAAGATGAAAAAATAGCAAATGTTAAACTTGAAGAAATTGAAATGATTTCAGAAGAAATTCAAACTATTGAAGATTATCCATCACCAGTTGTAGACAATTCAAAAATCATGCAACTTTCTGAACAAATTGAAAACCTAAAGGCAGAATTACAAGTCAAAACTGATTTAATTTCAACTCTCCAAAAGGAAAAGGAACAATACGAAAAGAATGAACAAGAACATCAAAAAGTTATGAATCAACTCACATCCCATGTTAAGGAACTTGTTAAGGAGAGTGCCCTTCTCAGAAGAGAATACAATGAAAGCATTCGTAAATTGAAAGAAGAATTAATTGCTTGCAATGATGATAAACAGTGAATTCCTTTTAGAGAGTAGCCGGTCGTAGAAAATCTATCCATAATTGATTGACAAAAAATGGTAAATTCCATTCTCTGCTCATTTCTATTATAAGAAATTGAATTGGTTGGTAAATTCCCAAATCTGAAACTCAATAAATTGATTCCAACATTAAAGTGTAAATGATCAAAAAATCATAACAAAAACATTCACAATGAACGCTTCAAATCCAAACCAAAAGATGTGGCTTTTAGGTTCAGCAGTTGCTCTAGCTGCTGGTGCCTATTGGTACAATAATAAAAAGTCAATTAAGAAGAAGGCACAAAAGTTAGAAAAGGAAGCAGGTAAAACAATGGAAGATGTTGGATCCTCATTGAAAAAGGAAGGTAAAAAGATGCAATAGATGGTGATTTAGCTCTTGGCCAAGTTGAAATTTGTGTTGATTTTTTATATTACAAATATATTACACTCTCTTAAACACTGAACCAATTGAGACAATTAATAAATTCTTGGAAGTTAATCTTTTCATCTCCATTCTTATCCAATTCAGCTAATACTTGTTCAATAGGATCCATGTCTTCATACTTTTCAGAGAGTTTTTGATGGAATGATGTGAATTCGGGAATGGAAAGAAGCTTGCTATTGTCCTTATCATATTGTTTGAATAATTTACAAGCAGAAACGAGGAGTTTCAATTTATCAGCTCTTAAAATCCCCTTTTTAGAAGCCAAAGCTTGCCAACATCCAAAGAATTCATCAAAAGTTAAAGTGTGGCTTCCGTCAGCATCCAAAAACAAGTGAATAGCTTCCAATTCCTCAGCATTAAGCTCAAAGCCCATATCTGCAAATAATCTATCTAATTCCTTCAAGTCCATTTCATTATTTTCATTCTAAAATTAAATATCAGATTAAGTTTCAATAATAGAAAAAAGAATTCCTCAATGATCGCATCAACATGATGAAATTTTAAACCTACCCTATCATACTTATTAAACAAGGCCTGAATAATATTCTTTTCTTCCTCAGTAATAGCGTGCATTCTTGGTGTGGTTGGTGGTGGAGATAATTTTTTTTAATTTATTGGTCTCTCTACAATTATCAAGGGTCACCATCATGAACTTGTGTGCAAGAGAAATTAAGGTCAAGATGAGTGCTGTTGGTTGACAATAACGAAAACGAAGAATTGACTATAATGAATAAATTAAGGGGATTGAATAAGTGGATTTGTCCAGGATTCTGAATGAAGAAATTAGTATTAATTTGCAGTAATTAAAACGATTCTAGAAGTTACTATTTTCTCAAATGATCATCCAACCCTTTATACAAACAGATTTACAACATATTACAACATATTCACAAAAAGAAGATCATTGGTCCCAAGTTTACAACAAAGAAACATTTCCAATAGCTTGACCAATAAGAAGATTTTCAAAATCAAGAACATCATTATAAAAAAATGTCTGACAACAATTTACCCATTCTCCACTCTTATTGGAGAGCATCCAGTCCATACAGAGTTAGAATTGCTCTCGGCTTGAAGAATATTGAATATCAATATGCACCTGTTAATTTATTGGAAAATAAACAAGCTTCCGATGAATATATGCAAAAGAATCCTGCCAAGTTACTGCCAACATTGGAGATTGATGGTCTCGTACTAACACAATCTGTTCCGATCATGGAATATTTGGAAGAAACTAGACCAAACCAAGGAGTACATTTACTTCCTTCCGATCCAATTAAAAGACACACTGTGAGACAAATTACACAAATGGTTGCCTCTGATATTCAACCAATTCAAAATTTGAGATTGTTGAAAAAGCTTAAAGAGGATTTTAATGTTGATGAGCAAGGAAAGGCTGCTTGGTCTAAACATTGGATTGAACTTGGATTCAATTCTATTGAAAAGGTTTTGGAAAAGACTGCTGGAAAGTTTTGTGTTGGAGATGATGTATCCATGGCTGATTGTTGTTTAATTCCTCAAGTGTATGGTGCCAGAAGATACGGTGTTGATATGAACAAGTATCCAATCATTGCCAGAATTGAACGTGCCTGTGCTGAAATGGAAGCATTCAAGAAGGCTCATCCAGAGCAACAAGTTGATAAATTTTAATTCATTTCAATTTATTCCCAATAATTGATCAGCATTTACTGATATGGGTGATTTGAAAAGTTATATAATTACAAGTTAAATTATCATTTTAGTAGTTTAATATCTCGTTAAAATTGTCACAATAGACCTCACTCAGTCCATTATCATATTTCTTCAATACTTTCTCTGGCCTTTTGCTTTTCAGCAACAGTGAGTTTTTCAAGTAATGTTCCTGCTGTGGATGGATTCAATTTATCAGATGCATTTTCCACAGCAGTTTGAACGAGAGAAACAATCTCTTCGTCGAAATGTTTCAGTAAATGTTCATCCAAAAACCAGAAAATCCTCTCAGTTGGTACCTTGCACGATACAAAGAGTGAAATAATTTCATTGGAAAAGTGCTCCTTGTACAAGTATCCACTTTCAATGTATTTTTTCAGAAAGTTTTCACTTTCGTTTGCTATTTTAGATTGTGTATTACTCCACATTGTTCCCATTATGAAAACCATTTGAAGAAAATTAGAATGTTCACCCTCATATATTGAATCCAAGAGAGATTGATTAGGAAGTACATTGTTGATAAGATCCAATCCTTTACAAATTTCCTTTCCCATATGAACATCTCCTGATTGGTAAATTAGCTCAATAGCACCAATTAATACATTCAAAAATGTGACATTTTCTAAATAATAGCAATAAAATACAGTAACACATATACCATATTTTTGTAGACGGTTAGAGAATGTATTGAATAATTGAAACCTACTTGGATCTTTTGGTGTTTGCTCACTGATTAGGAATCGATAGGCTTGTAAGATGGGATGTTTAGATAATTGCTCGACTGAAATTCTATCTGCAGGATTAGCTGCAATACATAAACTGATTAATGTGCGAAGGGATGGTAGTTTGATTTTTTCAAGAAGAGGTTGTAAGTCAACCATATCTGATTGGAAAAATGAGGCAAATTGCTCGTGAGAAACTCCTGAACAAACCTCTAAAAATGTTATTCCCATACTGTGGTAGGTCAGTATTTTGAAGTATTCAATAAAACTTACGAAAAGACATCAGCTTTAGAGCTGTATGCATTTCTGAAAGCAACTTCAGGTGATATATATATTGGACTGCCACAAATTGTGTGATTTTGAGTTAGTGTGACTTCCATTACAGATTTGGCCAAACCAAAATCAGCCAATTTTACAACACCACTACTTAATAACAAATTTCCAGGTTTGATGTCTCTGTGAATGACTCCCTTTTTTTCAAAGTATACCAACACATCAACCATTGATGAAAACCATTCCACTAATTTCTTATAGGGCAGTCTCGAGGTTTGTCCCAAATCTATAATATCTCCTAAGCTCCCTCCATCACAATATTCCGAAACAAGTGCAATAGCATCCTTCTTAATTTTTGGTGTAAAATCTTCAAGATTATTTTTTTTAATGCATAATTGCACAGCTCACAACTTACCAATTTTCAAATAAAATTGATCTATGTATTTCAATACATTTTGGTGATCCAATGATTTTAAAATATTAATTTCATTGTCAATTTTAGCTTGTGCATTCACCATTTGTGTAGTGTTGGTTGTAGTTGAGCTAGTAGGAGCAACCATTACTTTCATTGCATAGAATTGACAGGAAGGAGTAGGTGATGAATAGGTCGCAGTGGATTTTCTAGTTGGTTGGTTGAAAACTGTGTCGAAAATCTTGCTATTGACAGCTGACAAAGGACTGTGAGCATTTCTCACACTCGGAGACCTGTCCTCTCTAACTCTCTTCACTTTAAACACTAACAGAATAATAATATTAGCATCACATTCATCATCATTTAAAACCTACCCTGTCCAAATGCACCTAAATAATTAATAGATCAATATTTCATCAAATATTTCTTCTTACCTTCTCCAATTTTAGAGACAACTTCATAACTTCCATAAACTTTTCCAATAGCACAAAACGTATTACCACTACTCGCTGGTTTACCATTAAATAACATATCAGAAGCTTCCCTATTGAGAAATCCATCCGAATCTTCACTCATAGAGGTTCTATTGCCCATTTTTTTAGATGTGAAAATTGATCAGTGTTGATTCCTTGTCTAATTTCCAATCAATTTAATTTATACCAATAATATATTATTATTATTAATAATTTAATGATGACGATAGAGAAAAATCTCTTGGGAAATGTGAGTTTTCCCTCCAAAACACAAAATCGTAATTTTTTTAAATTTTTAAAAAAAAAAGAACTCTGAAAATGAATTGGTTAACCAGAGAGATTTAATCTCAAACCGGAATTAAAGTGTTTGATTGATGGAGCTGAATGTTGGACTTGCTCGTTTACATAACTTGCAACCAATAGTAAAGTACCAAGAATTGATGTCAGACAATCCAATAGCTTATTATAAGGCAAAAAAAGAATAGTCCAACAAGCTTCTTGATAAGACAAATAGCTTCATTCATTTTGTAAATCGAAAGAATAGTTCATAGTTTCATCAATATTTAGAAAGAATTTATTGAGAACAGTGAATTATTGTTGCTTGACTGCAAGACTACTTAATTTTCTTTCTGACTTATCTTCCTTCTTTCTCAACTTGCCCCTAAGCGCTTCCTTTTGGGTTTGTTTTTGGAATTCTACAGTTTGTTTGAAACGGTGATGAGTATCGAGCATGAGGATGCAAATTTCTGATTCAACTCCATCGAACAATTGATCTCCCAAATGCTCATTTTGGCCAGTTGCAAAGAAGTCTAACTGTTGCTTGACCTTATCTCCAACTTGTTTGTTGATATTGACCGATTTTTCACCATGAACATCCAAGAAATCGGTAAAGATTTCAAAGGCAATTTCATACTTTTTCTTTTCAATTTCAGCAAGATCCTTTTCAGTATAGCCCTTTTTCTTCTTCTTCTTTTTGGTTTCAGTGGCAGAACTTGCTTCAGAAACACCATCAGAAAGACTCAAGTCGCTGTCATAGAGGTAGACTTGAATGTCAAATGATTTTTCACAGAGACACTTGTAATCAGTAATCTTGTCCAATAGGAGAAAGTTATCCAAACTCATCTCTTGCTTGCAATGGTTCTTGAATAGATTTCTCAATTTGTCATCTCTAAAGGTATCCATCAAAAGGAAGGCTTTAATTTGCTTCAACTTCTTGGAATTGGTGGCATCCTTCTTTACAGAGAGAACAATTGAAGCTATCATGACAGGAACAACAATCAAAATTGAAACACAAATAACAATCAAACAAATCGTGGTAATGATTACAGAAAAGTCCAAGCTATCTTTTGTCAATTGTTGGATATAATCAACGAGTGGTTCAAATTCAATATCAAAACCTTCGACATAGTACTTGTATGCCTCACTTTCCAAAAGGTCCATAGCTATGGAGTAGTTTCCTTCTTTGGCATACTTGATAACTAAACTTTCAACTCCCATTGCCTTTGCAGTTCTTAAATCATCAATGCTAATATTGTGAGCTACTTGGTATTGGAGATTCTTTGGAACAGATGCCAAGATTATATTAATGTTGGCCATGAACCCCTTATAGTGTCCTGAGTAATCTTCGATGAATCTTTCAGCAATCTCCTCATTGCCATTGCAAAATGCTGCTCCTCTTGCATCATGTATCATCAAGTGTCTATAGTATGCTGTATCATCATCAATACCACTTAGTTTCTGACTATAATTGCTAGTCATTACAAATGATACAATAATGATAGCTCCCAAAATTAAAAAAGCCAATAAATTGAAACTCAACGAGGACAAGTTCAATATTTTCAACCATGATAACTCCAAAGTACCACAGCATGTTCTCAACTTGATAGCTCCTTCAGATGAGGTTGTACTCTTAGTTGTGGATGATCGAGGAGTTTTTGAGGAGGCAATGGAACCACTCTTGTCATGAGGCTTGTTTGCTGAAGGGAAAGATTTTCCATTATCTGAGTGATCATCTGATGATGAATTGTCATATTTACTCATAGCAATATTCAATTTAATTTGAGTTGTTCCTTCTCCAGTGGAGTACCTAGGTGAAGCAAATTTGAGTTGATGTTCTACAGATGATTTTTGAATACCTTCACTAGAACTGGCCACATCACTCAACTCTATCATTGTACTTCCTATTAAATTTGCTTGGGATGAGGAAGAAAAGCCTGAATCTGACATTGGTCCTAATGCTTGTGGAGTGAGATTGTTATCCTGATTTGAAGAGAAGG